ACCTAATCCTTATCCTTTCTAAATTCGTTTGTGTTAGGTATTTTTATTACTATTATCGTTTCCCCGTTTTGTTCTTGGCAAAATACCCTAATATCGGGGTGAACGCCACAAAAAAAAAAAAAAAAAAAAAAAAAAAAAAAAAAAAAAGATCCGTCAAAAAATGTGTCAATGTCATTTATTGTTTATATTACCTATGAAAATAACAACTTTTTTAGGAAAGTCCTTTTGTATCTTTCTTTAAAATTTTATGATGAATGTAATGCTGTGTTATACGGACAAACACTTAGATAGATATGACGTAATATTTTAGATTATAAGATTCCGTTTTTGTCTATTTTTTAATTAAGTACAAATTTACATATTTGGATGTTTATTTCTTAATCAATTCTAGTAGATAGTGGATTGTACCGCTACATTATCAACATAAAACACTTTTTATCATAATAATTCATGAGGGCAAAGCCGCGGAATACAGCTAATTGATTATATCTATGCTTATAAAATCGTTTGTCCTGACTGACTATCAACCCACTGCTAAAACTACTACATCTAGAAAGTTGAAATTTAACACATAGGTTTATTTTATAATATAGGCATCCACTAAAAAAGGATTTTTAAAAATTTCAACAGGGACAACACCACACCATGCATGCAAAATCGCAGGCAACAGCTAGTTTTATTATACTATTCTAATATCACTATCCATATACAGATATATCTAATTCCCATAACTGCTCTATAATTGAAGAAAAATCGAAGCTTGAGTACTGCATGTTTTTAAAGATTAGCAATCGTCGTTAAAATAACAGGCTAAATAATTTTTATTTTTTATATTACACTACAAGCAGATATACGATGAAAAATAACAATTGTGTGTTTTATACTCATCTATTCATCTCCCTATTCTAATTTAGACCAATTTGGTGCAATTTCAACTGACCTCGTCAATTAATTTACCTTATCGGCGGTGAATAGTTAATTAGGACAATTCAACGATCATTTTACATATCCGATAGACCGATATGCCAATGTTGTTTTATAATGATGTAGATACCTACATGTATGATTTAAAGTACCTAGCTCTAAAATTTATTTTTCGCAATTCACAAAACACATGGATAGGTACTCACTTTAATTTCACCCTTGCATAGTTCATAACACACTCAGGTCAGAGATTAATATTTTGTATTGATTTTTTTAACATAAACTTAGTAAACATAAATCTTAATACTAAGGATTAAGAGCTATGTATTCTATCTTTGTGTTTTGTGTGTCTTTTCATCATCATCAATATGCGTGATGCATGCACAATTAATTGCAGTATATACAGTTATAATGTACGATATACAAGCCCACTGCCGTGTGACTATGTGGTCCCGGTATACAATAGACTACCCTTTCCTTTGGAACTTAATTGTTGAGGAACGGGCAGCAGGGTCCCTCTTTAAACATCACCAAAACGCAGTTTTAAAAGATTATCAACCCGCCTGCAAAATTGTGGCAAAATCCACTATCCACTGCTGAACATAGGGGGAGGCCTATGTTTAGTAGTGGACAGTTAACAGCTAATATGGATATAGAAAGTAATTGTTAATAATGGGGATTTGTAACCGTATTATTAGCAATATATATTATTAGCAATATATCAGGTTGATCTCCTCGCAGTTCCCCCTTAAAACCATCGTGATTGAATCATTAGAGAATTTGTCACGATGGGCTAACTGACCTGCTTCATCTTTACCTATAGTCCCTCACTGGTACCCCGCCAGTATATACCGATAGCGCAGGCGAAGTAACTATTCCATTATCATCCACTAAAAAAAAAGATATGGATATGAGTCCACATTTGTATTCATATAGGCCAAAGTTAGTGGTCAGAAACTATACAACACATTTCGTTTAGTTTTTCGATATTGACAATCACACAACGTATGAAATGTATTTTTTATGGGTGAAAATGGTATGGTAACCCCGCCTGCGCTAACGGGATACGCTGGTGGAGCACCAGTGAAGGATGATAAATGAGAATGAAAACAGGCCAGTTAGCCCATCATGATGAATTCATCGGGAATTAACCATGATAGTTTTCCAGGGGAAACCGCCTGGAGGTCGACCTGGTTGGGTATATTGCTAGCAATGGGATTCTCAGTCTCCATTACTAACAATCCCTTTCCCCCATCGTATGAAATGTTAGGTTAGCTTAGGTTAATTTAAAATAAGAAAGATATCTCTACACCTACCTCTTTTAACACCAATGCAGATTTTATTTTATTTTGATCATTTGTTGGATCACTGATACCAACAATTTTTGACCACCATCGAAACCACATTGTAACTTTAAATCGTAATAAATAACAAAGAAACCATGTACTTAATAACACAAATACTGACAACCATATATTTTTATAGTATTGAATCAGTTCAGGTAATTTATCTCGTAAATATATCGGCATTACTTTTTAAACACCTTTTTTCATAGATGCTCTATCACACACTTTCCTATTTAGATGAGTTTGAAAGCTGAATGAGTTATCTACGTTATTTAATGAAGCACCTCTCTACATCAGAACTCAGTAATCGAATGAACGATGATGCATCAACGTACGTACTTACTATAGGTACGTACTACCTACAAACTGTTAACTGAAATTAACATCACGTTAAATGAACAACATTCAAGTCTATAAAAATTAGAACAAACAATTTCATTGTATGGTTTACATACCTAAACGTTAGAACCGTATAAATCCATTTAAGTCTATTAAACCAATTATGTATAATTTTTCTAATGCACTATTAATATTATTTTTTACTCATACACAATGTTTCTCTATAACATTATCTGTACCCCATGGCTTTATCTGCACGGATCAGTCTATATAGTAGTCTGTCTGTAGATAGTCTGTGTTAGGATATACCTTACTTGTGTACCAAACATTCATATAACTAACAAACAGAATAATCTTTAAAAACTTTCGCATTTATACCGAATAAGAGGATAAGACTATCTAAATTAAGATTTTTTCATGGTGAAACAATATCAAACTATCAACAATAACATTGATAACAAACCATCATGAATTTAACACTTCTATATGAGCCCAAACCTAGTTAACAAACATTGCTCAATGTTATTAATTTCCTTGCCACAACGACTAGACTATTAAGGGGAAGGGATTGGTAGTAATGTGGTTCTAATAGATTAATTGCTACACTATTAGGTAGCTTACGATTTTGCCGAGTTAGAAACATCTCAAAATCAAGATGAGAAATTCCAGACACTTCTTCCTAATCCTGATAGAAGTATTTTAAAATTAGAAAAGGTTGCAATTTCTGGTACTCTAGTCTGTGATATGTCAACCGGAAAACAATGTTCCTTTCTCCCCTCATTTTTTCGACGGCCAAATTTTAACGAATTACATAACCTCAGTCACCCTGGTGCGCAGGTAGTTTGGTTACTGATCATTTTGTCTGGCTGGGTATGAAAAAGGATTGTTAAGCTTAGGTAAGGAATTGCATTCCTTGTCAGCGCGCAGTAAAAATAAGTCGCCACTGTCATTACACCATCAGGTAGGTAATTTCGGCAGACCGTTCGGTCGTTTTCATCATGTCCACATCGATATTATCTATCCACTTCCATCTCAAAATAACTTTTTCTATTGCTTATTATCGATAGATTTTCACGATGGCAGAAAGTGTGGTCGATGATATCTATGACCGCTAAAACCGTTGCCGAAACTTTTGGGACTGACTGGATCGCACGATTTGATGTACCCGAAGCAATCACTACAGACCAGGGTCGCTAATTTAATTCCGATCTATTTAATCGACTCATTTTGTGGCTCATCGCGTGTGCGTACAACCAGTTACCACCTGCAAGCGAATGGCATGGTGTAACGCCTCCATCGACAACTAAAGGCCGCACTGATGTGTCACCGAGACGATCGGTTGAGCTCTCTTCCTTTAGTGCTGTTAGGTCTACGATTAGCATTAACAGAGGACATTGGCGCATCAATTGCTGAAATTACGTATGGCGAACCCCTTCATCTTCCTGGTGAGCTTATCACGTGTGGTTCAGCTTCCCAGGAGATTGAAGATCCTTACGATTTTTTATGTAGATTTTACAGAACCATGTCAAAAATGCGACATATTCTAGCTTCTTATCCATACTACATCCGGTATATTTATAAAGATTGACCGGCGCTACGTATGCCTTCTTAAGAGATAGCGTCTGACAATCTCTACAAACACCATATACCGAACCGTTTCACATTTTGACCCAGAACAACAAAAGTACAACTCTTTGCATTAATGGTAAGAACGTCACTGTTAGCCTTGACTACGTGAAGCCTGCTCGTTAAGAATTGGGCACTACTCACCATGACGTCTCTTCACGCGGCCAAACCTAATACCTCATTTCTCTACATCCCGCTCCTATATTTTCTTTACAGGCCTCGCAAGGTATTGGGCTGGTCACCAGATCGGAAAAAAAGGTTCGTTTTAGGGACAGACATAACCTGTGAGCCTTACTTTCTCCGCGGGGACTTTCTGCTGTGAAATATTACTGGTGATCGATTTCTTGTCTTTGTTTTCGTACCCATGTAGACAAGGTAAAAAAGAACTTCAGTATCAAGCATTTTAATTATGTACCCGTTTCTCTTAACAGTGATTGGATGTACCACACTGTCAATATTATTACACCCTTATAAACAACATTATACCATGTAGACAAGTAGCAAACGTATTGCGTAGTCCGATGTCTCATTCCATGAACATAGTAGATATATTATGACGTCTCCTCATTCCAACATATACTCTCTTGCGATAACGGTGCCATCGATGGATTTGTTCACCACTTGTCAATATAATATACATTTCTAAATTATCCTTTATTTTTAGAATATATATAACTCCTATGTGTGAATATGCTTACCTGATTACCATATACATTTCACCATAACATTTTAGAAAGGAATATGTTATAAATAAAAACACGTGCATTTAGATATTAATATATTTTCGAATCTAAAATGTACAAAAAAAAATACAACTTAATGTAAGATAGTCAACACCTGGATTTTATCAATGAATAAAAATATTCTCATTTCGAATAGATACTTCGAAAGTTATCGTTTCGGTATTATTAATTGACAAATACCAAGTAATGGTAAATGATCCGGAACAAGCTACTAGGAACGAAAGGAGCTTAAGCCACACTCACATACTACTTGTTTCTGTTAATTAAACTATTTTATATTCCTTTTGGTTTTATCCGACTTTTATACCAAAATAATAAATTCGATTTCTAATATCAGGGCGGTTGTGTAAAGGCTTTGACATGATATTGGATGTACCCATATACAACTGTACAGTTTAATTTGTATCTTTTCTAAAATAAACATAACGACCTATTTTAAATTTATTATTAAATCAACCATCACTTTATAACAACTTTGGTTGTGTATGCTACTCGTAAAAATATATGTATTTTAGCTATGTACAATATTATATATAAACATACATACATACAATGCGTAGAAATGCACAGCAACATAAGAGGCCTTAACTAACATCTGAAAAACTAAATAACACAGACTTAATAACCACCCGCAGAATATTTATTTTAAAAGCGAGGACTAGCTTTATTAAATAAGCCCTGTTAAGTGTACGTTCACAAAAAAATCTGAAAATAAGTCCAGTCGGTATATATATATTTTTTAACCTGTTTGCTCTAAAACGACTAAGAAGCAGGTTTATATCAAGATAATTTCTGCGAGTGACTAATACCTAAAATCACTGTGCAGCGCCTTGGAAAAACATAATTAGCTTTTAAAATCTATAAACAAAAATGTAAACCTAAGAAATGTACATAATATAAAAATACCCTTGTTTGCAGACGACAGGCCAAGACATGAGACACGACTTTATACAAAAAAATAAAATCAGTATTGTACGGGAAATGCCTCATCGTGTTAGCGACTGTCATCTTACTATAATAAATATTTATCACGTAATCTTATGTTGGGGATTTTCAATAAACCTATACAAAACGGCAAAGGAAATCTACATTGCGCTCAAATTTCATATCGTTGATACAAATAAAAGTCCATTCTAAACTAATTATGTTTTTTCCCTGTGAAACAAAGATTCCCGTACACATCCATGTTTCTTGGTACATAACGCCAATTAATTGTTAGTCCCTTGTCACAGAGCAAACTATCATGGTAAAAAAATATTTCTATTACATATCGACGTATCACATTTGTTTAAAGTCCAAATTGTATTTTTCTGTATCATTGGATGGAAAACTTGGACCCTATTTTAATTTATTATGTAAACCTCCTCGGTGACAATGGACTAATTACCTTATACAAGTTATGGTTACTTTAATGCTCTTACATAGAATTCCAATTATATATATAACATTTCAATATAGACCAATTTTTCCGAGGCGTAATATATGTATTCTGTAAATATTATGCCGACATTACCATTAATAGCTCCGAATAGTCCATTAATCTAAAATTTAATAGTAAAGTCGTTAATCAATTATTCAATTGTATGTAATTATAAAATAAAACGACTAAGATATACCAACATTTCCATGTGGTCTTGTAGCGGTTTGTACAACTTAATTATCAACTAGAAGATTTTTACAATGAGGTATTACAATCCGTTACATCAAGATGAATATCTTCTAATATTATTTAGATATTTGCACACTAGTAGATGATATACTTTTATCCGATTTTAACTTTTAGGCTGGTTGTCCAACAAACATGTGCAAAGAAGGCGATAGGTCATTTAAGAAATAAACAACTCATTAGTGATTAATGTACTCGAAATTCCTCGCATAACGTATTTAGTGGACAGTGATCAAAAGGATACCTCGAAATAAGCAAAGAGAAAGCGAAGAATAGATGTAAACAAAAAAGGATAAATTGATGTGAAGGTGCAAGGGAAGTCTGGTATGCTGGCTATATAAGAGTGAGATTTTTCGTGAGTTTAAGTGAGCAAGGAATATCAATAAATGTTTAAACGACTCAAGAGAAATATTGAACGTAAAACACGTGTCATACATAACATGAGCATAGCAGTTTGGCGCGTCCCATTGTGGAATTTCTGCAATCATTCTATTAGACTTGAAAAATTTCCTTCTTCTTTTACACAACTTAATTTTGATGGCCAAAAACACTAACTTCTTTAAAGACTACTCTCGCAAATCTTATCTTCATAGTACATATCGGAGGACAAACAAGCCTAAATGTTCTTCAGTTGTTTTTATTTGTGATTTAAACTGTGTACTGACTCAATTTTGCTCGTGTGCTACTGAATTGTATGATGCAAACACAGGGATGCATATACATACCCGACTACTGGCTAGTCAGTGCCTACTATTTATTCAGGACATGTTCTTGAATTTCTATATTGGAAGACAATAATTCACCAAGTTCAATTTTAATTCGTTTGTCGTTTTTAAGATCAGATACCTCCTAAAAAGATGAAGCAATTAATTAGGAATTACTCAAGTGACATATTCTCTACAAAAAATTAAATTATTGATCAGTGAGCATTTCATTTTATATGCTACTTTAAGTCATACATATTACAAATTGTATCACCGAAAATATTGCAAAGTGCGTTAGTAGCTATTGTCAATTTCCTTTATATTACATCCTACTTTCAACTTACGATGAAAATACTAATTACATACCTTAAAAACTTTGATCAGCAGTGATTTTATTGAAAATAAATTTTGAAGCCTAATGATGTAATAAAGACTTTTCATGAATGTCTAACATCTATTTGAATATCATATTTTATTATAATTTCTCGATTTTGTTGGTTTTGAAAAAATATGTTTTATCTATATTTTCAGGCACCTATGCGTTCATCATTATAATTTGATTTATTTACATTAGAATTCACGGAAACCAATTGTATTTAATGAAATGGACGTATTCCCATACATTACAGATAGTTTTGATTACATAAACTAGATACGTTATCGTAAATCTGCAAAAAATATAACCTTTCGTGTACATTCAGCTCACGTCGAAACGTTTAATAAGCTAATTGAGGGCATTTCGTGCAGCTATATTAAGATTCCAATAAAATAGGCTTTGTATTTAAATATAAATGTAGGTAGACTCGACTAATTCTCAACTATTTTCATTAACGTTGTCACGTAACAAGGCCATCACTTGTACTTTATTGGTTTGATATTTACCTATCAACATTATGACGCGCCTATCCACACCATATAGTGTAAATGGAATGAGATTTCATATTGCTACGGTGGTTGGACACTGTAAATCTTCCTCTCACTATTATAACCTTTTCGATTGCAATTAACGCGTTTTCAATTTAATTAATAACACGAAAATTAAATTGGTCAATAGCCTAAACGTTCTGATCTATTATCTCATAATGGTATAAAAATATTTTATGTCCTACATAGATTACTCGTTAAACTTGGTTTTATGGATAATCTACACATATTATTTGTACGTTCATTATTAGGTAGGTAATAAAAACAATCACATTTTACTTTACTGTGGGTCTCTACTCGCTATTCATTGCGATTGGTGTACTATCGATATATTGTTATTGTGAAACAACATTATAGGGAAACGTTAGTCTTCATAGATCTAATGAGCCAACACTCAAATTACTTAAGTACTTGAAGTCCGCATTAAGTTATTGCCACTTGCCGTAGGATTTAATGTTTGGTTACACTCGGGCTACGCAATCTATAATGTAACAATACAAATTAGCGTGTCGTTAACATTGTATGTAGAAAACGTTTTATTATTACAAGTGTACTACATGTTACTGCATATTTTCTCTAGGGAGTGACGACATAATACGAGCTGTGGTCCCCATAGTTATAATGTTAGGGAACAACAATTATTATCTCTTACATTTAATATTTAAATTATGTATAATATATGATGAAAAGGTTAAATTGCGCGCATTAGACCGATTAGGAAAATACACCATGACACCACATTCAAATGATCTTACAGCCATCATTAATTAGGTATGTTACATTATGGTAAATTTACACATAATAATTATTATTTTAATTATAACGTTGTGCAATTCTAAATTTCTTAAGTTGTAAACGTCGAAATATATTACTTTCTCAGACAGTAATAATGAACGAACTCTATCATAGTATAGTGTTTCACAAGTAAATAAAATGCTTATGGGATTATCAGGGAAAAATAATACCAAAATAGATTATAATTTAAACTGCAATATTTAAAATTCTCATATGTCATTATCACTGTCTATAGAAGCAAGTAAAACACTGCTAATAATTGGTGCTTATATTTTAATTTAACATTACCAATGATGACATTGAACATAGATGTTTATATTCACATTTGCACAGTAAGGTGGCACCACCCCACAACCACCGCGACCAATCCTCACGGAGACAAAAGCGCATAGCTCTTTCTATGAAAATATCTAAAATTTATCATTACGTATGCTGCTTGTATCAAAATTTCCTAAATCCTGGATGCAATCATAACGTGACGATTATGTTAGGTAATAGTGCGGCAATATTCTTGTAAGTAAAGGACTTTAGTTCAATAATGTCATTTCAAAATCCTCTTCTTAGTCGTTTCATTCATTCCATTCATTCATTCATAACTACATGTCAACAATTTCCTTTTATTACGATTTACATTGTAATAATATTTAAAATATAAAGAATATATTAATTGGGCTAGGAGACCAATTTATAGACTGCAAATACATTTCCCATTGTTACGAGGTGAAATTCTTGATTTCTTAACATTAAATTCGATTTCTAACGAACCATCACTGTGATGTCTCTAATACTATGCGTTCCGTCGTACCATCAATGACAATAAGATTAAGTCCTACTTAAATCTTGATCGCACTTATTTTTCATGTATGTAATATAAAGCAATAGATAACTACTGCTAAACTCTAGTATAAGGTCGCGTAGGTAATGTATACAGATGTTAAAACAACATGTCACAAGTACATTTGGATTTAAATGACTATCGAACACACTGACATTATAAACACAGATATGAAACAAGACTATACATAATTTTTTATATATACTGTGCACAGTAACATAACAATTTTATTGATAAATATTTCGTAAAATATACATTATATTTTAATGTAATTTGTTCAAGATTAAAGGACCCGAATAATTCAGAAACAAATCGAACTTTTTCGACCAAATTACACGTAAGTTATACCGGTAGTTATTACATTAATATATAGAAGAATTTTATTTATGAACTAGCCGTTTCCCGCGGCCTTGCCCGTTTCTAACTATGTAGTTCCCGTATATTAATCCCAATTGGAACTCTTCATGAATCCGGTCTTATATTGTATTATATACTTAAATGATAATTACATACCTAATACCTTCATAAAGTTGCAGCCAATTCAACTGATCGGTTATTGTACAGCATTTATAAATTGTCCGTTTGTCAGTATGTCTATTTGTCTGTCTGTATGTACGTTTGTGCACGTAATCTCAAAAACAGCTTAACCAATTTGAATGTGGTTTACTCTACTTAACATTTAGTTTTTGTTTCATTTTCATTAGTTCATAAATAAAAAAGTTATATCAATCTAAAGAATCATATGTAAATTGCTATAAAATAACCGATCAATTGATTTAGCTGACTCTTATTATATGTATTGATTTTTGAAAATTCTGTCTACTTGTGCGAAGCCAGGTCAGATCACTAGTACACAATATATACCTGTTAATATTTAGAAAACTGAATTATTAATATAAGTATTCAGAAATTGTGATGTAGAAGACACTGGCTTGTTGAATACTACAATATTCAAATAGTTACGACTTTTTTTTATAATTGTATAATATTTTATACACTTCTAATACAAATTTGTGTCTATGATTTTATATCTGTGATTATAATGTACATCTAACCACGATGTATAAATATTAGAAAGTGCGGCAGATGGGCATAAATCATAAGAATAATTTTGTAAATTATGAATTTTGTATACATTTAATGAATATCAATAAATGGTTTAAATGTTACATGAAATTATAGGTACTGTAAACACAATGAAATATTGTAACAAAATATTTACAATAAAAGCAACAGCTATAATTTAACAACATATTATTTACACAAGTAAAAATAATATTATCAAATGAGAAACTTCCATTCGACGTCTCATATACTATAATACAATTACTTTGTCATAACAGGTAACATCTGACTTCGAACTATAATACATAATAACGTTCACAACGCCAAAATATGTTTTATTTCTATACAATATTGCACGCGAAATATTTCTATTGTATGTTGTGTCGTGTACTAAACGTACCGATCAATCGCAATAGTAGATAGATCACTTATTTTTATTCCGTCACAGGAAGCTACCATTGTAGTTTGCATCGCGTTTAGCTAAAAACATAGAGGTATCGTACATACATAGATAAAGTAACTTAATTATTAATCTCGACATTCTTAGAGAAGTCGAGGCGAAACGTATCGTAACAAAATTTTTTACAACTCGAAAATATCACTAGCACTACTAGACTGTGTCGCAAGACGTTATATAAATACGTGTACTATATTAGTCTCACGGATGTGAGATTTACAGCCACAGAGGTACCACGTAGACCATAAAGTCGGAACGATGAATTTCGTTGCGATGGAATATTACGTCTTAGATCGTCCGTCCGCAACGTCGGAACAAATCATAAATGCAAACTTCAGCGGGGGTCGTGGCGCGGGTGTGTGGTCGCGGGCGCGGGGTTGCGCGAGATGCATCACTGAGACAGCAGCTTCTGCAGCAGCGACGCCTTAGCCGCCGCCGCCGCCGCGCCCTCCGCGCCCGCTGCCGCCGCCGCCGCCGCCGCCGCCCCCGCCGGCTGCGCCTCATCACCGCCCGCCGCCGACGCCGCCTCCGCCGAGCCCGCCTCCGTAGTACTCTGCGCATTACCGTTACACGTATCATACATTAAACTCAAATCATATCAAATTAACATTATGATCGTTTACAATATTGTAATATGCCATTACTCCTTGTGACTTATTCACAAGTTAAAAGATGAAGATAACAAATGCCGTTGCAATATAACAAAAAACGAATAAATATAAAGAATAATATACATATATCGATGATGCAATCGAATATGAATCTTGTTGTTGTATGGTTAATATACAAGAATACCTCCATTTCTCCTTAAACATGAATATATATAATAGTAAATGTTGTTCACTGTTAAATCCAAGATATTTTAATATAAATGAGAAACTTAAAAACCTTACTGTAATCATTATTGTTGTCGTCATCGTAATAAAAATACAATATTTAAACATCTGAAGTAAGAAGTCATTTTAGTGACTTTTTTGACAAAGTGCTTTGAACAATATATCATTATGTTCTCTCGACATAACAGATGTATATCAAACACATATAATCGTTTTTTGTCACACTTTCCTAATTAAGCATCTGTTTTCAAGCGAAAATAAAGTATTCTATTGAACGTTATACCGATCAAAATATATCTATTTTGAAGAAATAAACAGGTTGCCAGTGTAAACAGCAGATGTAATAAAAAAGGCATATAAATTCAATAATACAATGCTAATATAAGTAAACAACACTAAGAGGCAAATGTGGACATAAGTGGAGTTATTAATTCTAATATAAATGCTCACCATTTGTCTATATTAACTCATAATGAAAACATAAATTTGTTCAAATTATTACTTAAATTTTGATTCAATACTTCTCTGCTATAATAGGCATAATAATAAATTTAGAAATCCCCTCCTATGGTGCAGGTATTTGTCTGTTATTTGAAAAAAAAAAAACATTATTTTAACAATAAACTAAAAATTCGCGAAAATTGTTAAACTGCAATGTGCAAATTGAAATTAAAAAAATCTATTGCACGAATATGGGTACATAAAATACATGAAAATATTTTTATATAAATCCACATAGTAACGAAGAAAAACAACAAGTTAATATTTAATTCGTGCATTAAAATAAATTACAAAATTAAATCATTCAAAAATCAAACGAACGGTGATAAACAGTTTGATACTAAGGCGTTACGTCATTCGACCTGATTGACGTTTCACTAAGATGGCAGATTGTAATATTTTATACATATTTTTTTATTTTAAATTATATTAATCTCAATGTTTTTATTAAAACAATGTCATTTTTAGAATAATTTTAGCATACATTTTTTTTTCTAAAATATTTACTTATTCTTATACCGTCATCATGCTTATTATTCCACGTTCATTAATACTTTTATTTTTGAGAAACCTCATTTAATCAAGTTCATATATATTTAACCGAAACCGCTGTTTACACTAACATATTATACAAGACAATAAATAATCTTGTAAGCACTAAATATATTAAAAACAAATCATGTACTGGTTTTCCATAATAATTTCTTCAAAGTTTTAAAGTTCAAAAAAGATCAGAATTGCTAATACTATATAAATGATATTGTAATAAAAGTATGATTTGCCCTGAATGCTAAACATAAAGAAAGACCATAATCACTCAACATCTTATAATATAATACATAAAATAATATAGGCAAGAAACCATCGAAATGTAGGTACGATACAATTTCGCTATGTAAAATAAATATTTTATAACCAGTTTAACTATTTCTCCTTTACAAGCTTTGTCGTTAGACTGATTGTCACTACAATGTTGACCTCGGCCAAAAAAAAAATATTTTCGAAATTTTTAATATCATGCAATCACTTTTTCCATATATCTACCAAACTTATTGGATCAATTTTACACTAAAATAACATGTCAGAAGCAAATAATAAGCGTCTAACTATTGCAAAAATATCATACTGTTGTATTGTGTTGTTGTTATATTTTATAAATAGAGTACAACATCACAAAACCTTCACCATATTTTATAGATTGCGCATGCGATATATTTTTTTTTTCAATTGAATTATAAAAAAAAGCTATAAAACTCTTGTATGTTTTCATATCTGTATCAGTTCAAACTTAAAAGCGAGTGAGATTAGAATTTAACTATATCGTACTTCTAAAATTTCTGAAGACGTTAAAAAATAATAAAATACATTTCACTAATCCAAGAAATTATTGTATTACATCACATCACAAAAGCTTATTAATAAAGTCAGAAATGTACCAATAAAAAATTCATCATCATCTTCCTGCCCTTATTTAAATTATTTGGAATCGGCGAAATATAAATAATAGTACCAATAAAGAATTAATGACACAAAGTTTTTTTTTTTAATAGGTACTTTATGAAATTTACAGCAGGAACTTAAAACATGTTTCTATTAAATAGAATAATATAACTAGAATAATGAACTTGGCACATTTCTTAAATGTAGCATCTAAGTATCAAGATGATCGACTCGACAACACACGCAGCAGAGCAGACTCAGTACGTAATAATCATAGATGTTCTACAAAATAAAAATAAAACCGACAGAAAGTAGTGGAGTGGCTAAATTGGTTTCGCTAGTCGCGTCCCAAGCTTACCGGGGTGCTTTGTTGCGACTCCCACGTGTTTGCCGACGTCGAGGACGCTCGGCCCCCCACCACACTGCCGCCACCTACGTACGTACACACGTATACATTGGCAGTGGCAATCCCCTACACTGACAATGTTGACTCGGCAAATTACATCCTTTTTCAATGCTCAAATGTGAAGAATACTAATGACAATTTATTATTATAACCGTAGATGAAATATACGAATTAAAAAAAAAGAGAAAAATTATAACAATGTTTTATGATAATATTAAGTCTACTACAAAATCATTATGAAATATAATGTATATAACCAAACTAGTCGCACCTACTATTATGGCATTTAGTACAGGGAATAAAGATCACTTCTAAGCAACACTCCCAGAAAACTTAATTGATGTATGGTATATACCTTCTACTTGTGATTTGCAACAAAATTCTAAGTCTCATCGCTATGACATCCGGATAAAAAATTACATAGGATGTAATGTGACAATGTAAACAGTTTTTCGTAAATATTTCATTAACGAATGCATTTACTAGAATATATTGGTTATGGCTTACAAAAACATATAAATGCGTTTTTCTTAAACGAATTTCGATTTTTTTTCCAAAATTCTCGAAGATACAATTATTCGTCTTTACAACCTGTTCAAATTTCAAATTTATTCAATATGTAACAATAAGCTCTAAAAACCAAATTCTCAGTATTAAAATATGAAGTTAAAAAAATATATAAACTTTTAAATCTTGATATTTTAGTATCAGGCAATAAAATCGAAAACATATTTACATGCCCTCAGAATCACAAAAAAACGGACAGATTGAAGGGACAATTGACGGGATGAATTTTCAAAACTCTGAATTCAGAATTCTAACAGCTGTGGCATAAAGATGCAAAATCTCGATTCGAGTAAAATTAGAAATTTGTTTTTATTCCCCGTTCTAATTGCACAAAATTAGAATACTTTTCCTAATAGAAATCGCAACTCTCTCTTTATTATATTTTTTTTTTTTTGTTAATTTTTATTTCACATAAGTACTTAAATATACTCTATACAGTTAATTACATTAGGTTGAAAAATTTAACCGACCAGTTGCTAAACCAGACAGGATACAAACTCGCATCTCTCAGCTTTCGGGCAGAAACAAAGGCCCCGAATGCGATTACAGGTCAGTTCCAAATCAAGTGATAAATTTTCCAACCCTTCTTTCGTAAGTTACGAAGTCATTAACATATCTGAATACAAAGTATTCATTTTGAAACGTTTTTAGTTATTATGTCCATAGTAGACAAATATTACGGTGTATAATTACTGCAAATTAACTCCTAAATTGATATAAATTGTAAAATGACTGTGTATGTATATACATTCCTTCGAATATATAAATACATAAATTAAAATTGGAATTGAATAGTACGATAATTCAATAATAATCCTAAGATCTAGTAAAAACAATAAATGCATTCACATACATCCACTGTTATTCATTGATACACCAGACAATAGTATAATTTAAATACAACATTATAAAATTAAATGCGCAGGTATCGACTATGTATTATATATTAGTAATTTTAAACAACAATGTACTTGAGATATTGCAATACATCAACGAGCATAATACTGTGAATATGACCTAGATAAATAATGTTTTCAAATCAAACTGCAACAGTAGCAACGAGCTGCATAAAATCTATAAAAAATTTCATAGCTATTTTGCTATCAGATAAATAAAAATATAATTCTTTTGGTTGAATTTATTAAAAAAAAATATAGAATTCTGCAACCGATTACTTTTTTGTGTGTTGTAAAATAATTTTCAGTTCTCAGTGCTATATTTTAATAACTACCTACAATGAACATGAACACCTAAAAGTGTTAATGAAAATTAAGAATTTAATTCTGACTGCACATCAATGTTTTACGCGAATAATAATCGTGACAAGTGATGGTGGGTGTAGAAGATGCGGCGACTTACCGGTGTTAGTCATATCGTAGTTGATGAGGTGTTCCAGGTCGGAGGGCTGCATCTGCGGGTGCAGCTCGGGCCGGGCGGAGCGCGCGCCCACGACGGCCCGCAGCTCGTTGCGCACGTACTCCGACGTGCCGCCCGCGCCCCCCGCACCCCCCACACCGCCCGCACCGCCCACGACACCCGCGCCGCTCACGCCGCCGACACCGCTCCCGTTTCCGGCACCTATACCGTACGACACTACTTTTAACGGATCTTACACGATCAATGAGTATGGTTAAAATAAGCGCTTTACACTAATCATAACATTCATTTCGTACAAACCAGAGAAACCTCGCAATGAGGGTGTAGTAGAGTTTCATCAATTGGATTATTAATGTATTATGAATCGAGGGAAACGGAATTTTTTACATCTCAGGTGCCGATGCTGTAGATAATGGTGAATAATTAAGTATATAACAATATCTCTATCATCAAATGATTTGTTGGCATCACACTAAATTACTTGATGTATCGTGGTACCTAAATTAATGAATATTACCCAGATCTACACAATTGAAACAACTCAGATAACCCATTAAAACTGCTGCATCTATAGTGTGCTGCTTTGCTGTTAAAATATTATTTTTCGACTTTTCTTCATAGCGTCCTTGATGGCGCTCAAAACACAATCCTTTCACTGATTACACACTTCAACAGACTGATCCAACCTAGCAAAACTAGAAGCGGAACCCTCTACCGATCTGCAAACGCACACGCTGCTGCGTATGCGCTCGATCGCTCCAGAGAAGCGAAGATCGTTAAGCGAATGCAAAGTTTAATCATGCAGAACGATAGTTAGGAAAATAAAAGTAATATGAAAGTCACTACCACCATTCTCGTTAATTTAACTGCAACTACATATCTTACCTTCTCGTAATATACAGTCGTGATCAACCAATGAAAGATACTCAGTACAAAAATTTTTAGTTCCACTCTAAATCCTAATCTTCAATATTAATCCACGTTCCATGGGTACGTAAAACTGTATGCATACATATTAATAATTTGAGAAGTTTCCCATGGGAAAATGTTTTACAAAAGTCCGATGTTTGTGTCACTATCAATTTCTTACTGTGTATATTGGTTTTATTGATACTAACACCACATAGACATCTACAACTAATAAAAAAAAAAAAGAAAAACTATGTGCCATATTTACTTTTGGTCAATAAAGCTATTTAAATAAATAAGAAAAAGGAATTTTTGAGAAATTGTTTAGAAACATTACCGATAGACTAACCATCTCAATAATATACGCGCAATAAGAAACGATAATAGTTTCTGTCAAAGTTAGTTGGTCACGACAGTACATAAAGAGATTATTTAGATCGTAAACTGAGTACAAGTTTAGTAGAATAAGAATATGTATGTAGAAACAGTGCAGTATATACACCTCCGGTCGGTTACCGGCCGAAGGACTACTTGGGCGCGTCCTGGTGCGACCGAGGCAAACCACCGTGTCTGTAGAAGAGCCACCACCGCCAAACGTTCCAACCGCTATGACGAGGAACAGTGTAGGTGCATAGTGTGGAGTATATTCGATGAGGGTGCGGCGGGGCGGCAGGTCGGCAAGGCGGCAGGCCACCAGGGCTGTCTGTACTCACAGGGCAGAGGCGGATCGTGGTGCGCGTGCGCATGGGGCGCGTGGGTCGCGTGGGGCGCGTGCGTGGCGTGCGAGTGCGGCGCGTGCGGCGGCAGGGGCGCGCGGCGCGCGTAGTCGCCGCAGTAGCCCGCGCCCGCGCCACCCGCCCCGCTCTCTTCGTAGTAGCCGCCCACTGCCACACACGCTGCGTTATGACTACGCGCTACAAATCGCGCAGTGGATTCGTGTCGCACAGACCTACCTACTTCGTCGCCTCTCGGGCCCGCTCCCCCCGGGAACGCCGGCAGCGGAACTGCGAATACTTCAACTTCCGTGACAACGTTTTCGTAGATTACGTTCGTGCAATATACTTTCCGGAAGAATCATTTTTCTGACGCAATTAAGTGTCGATTAAAATGGGAAACTCCAGTTCGCAGTTTCGCTCCCGACGGCACACCCCGTCACGGACCCACGAACTATCTCGATGATCTCAAATCCTCGACTTCATGAGTCAGATACATGAAGGTATTTAATATTGGAAGCCATGCAATTAGTTTTAGATTCGTATGCAGTTTCGGAAAGCCCGAATCCAATAAAAGTTTACTATTTCTAAAATACTACGGGGCATGCTTAAGAATGTATTTCTCAGAAGTACATGCTTCAATTTAGAATATAATCAACCAACAAAATCTAATATCTATGTCTACCTTAGAAATTAATTTTAGTATTTGTCAATTATAAAGCATACCATACAGAAGAAATAATTGGATCAGACTGACTTATACTTTTTAAGTAGAATTAACAAAATGTAATTGTAAATTTGATATTATACAAAAATGACAAAAAAAAAAGATATCATAAAATTGAAACGCCGCTTGCTATGAAGGAGTGGTAGATGTTGCCATAATTTCCATGATGCTCTAAGGACACAGAATATTAAATAACTTATAAATTGTAGGAATACTTTACAATTATACCTACTAAAGTGTAGAAAATTACCTAAATTTAGTTTATTGAAATAAATCGAAATATAAAAATGTTTTAGTTGATCACATATTAAATGACAGAAATTATGATCTATAAAGTCAAAATTTGCCAGTTATGATTTTCTAAAATTCAATATTTACAGTCAGATCTATTTATTTATAAATATATATAGATTAATGTCTGGAGGCAAGATTTTGTAAAAGAATTGTAATACGAGTATGAAGTTTTTTATTATATGAATTAAACATAAAAGACAATTAGGGCCCCGAGTATGTGTTAGCGTAACTTTTATGTTGATAAATTATTGTTGTAAAAGCTACGCTAAATTGTATTAATCTGAATTTCAGATAACTATTGCTAGAGGCACAAATATAATAGACGTAATAGTAATTTCCTACCCTTGATTTTTTATCCAATGAGTACCTCCTACAGGTCAAACTGAACATGTATAAATAGAAATTGTGTTGCATGTTAATATAGGACAAAAAATTTTTGTCCTAGATTAACATGCAACGTAACTTCTTTATTGTTGTTTGGCAGGGGTGTATAACCTGTACGGTTTTTCGGTAGATAATATAACGAACAACTTTGTATTATAAAGCAGTCGTGTGAATTTAATCGTATCTGGAATGAATTAAATAGTTACCTAGATGAGGTCGCGGCGCGGTTGGCGCGCGGTGGTACTGGGGCTGCGGTTGCGGTTGCGGCGTGAGCGGCGTGTGCAGCGCGGCCGCCGAGTGCGGCGCCGCGCCGCCGCCGCCCGGGCCCGCGCCGCCCGCGCCGCTCGCCCCGCTGTGCGCGTACCCGCCACCTGCTGGGCCCTGTGCCAGCACCACACCATGCAATATTATAATACCATCCACTTACAACTACAGAAATACAGGTAAAGCTCTTCAAAAGGGGGTAAAGAGGTTTCTTCAGGATCGGCAACTCGCGCGTAATACCCCTGGTATTGCAGGCGGTCAAAGGCTGCGGTAATTGTTTACCACCAAGTGGGCCGTATGCTTATTTGCCACCTAACGTTCGGTAGAGAACTTTTGGTATAAAAAAAATAGAAGGCTCATTTTACAAAGTATTTTCAATAAAAAGCAACTGTTTTATTGTTGTAGGCCACCGTGTGGTTCCGAACAGTAGAGTGAGCCACGCCTTACTTTCTCGTAAGTGGTAACTAAGACATAGATGGTTGTATAATACAATAATGTTCACTGAAATTTATGCGCCACCTCAGGTTTGTCTTTACCGCAAAAGTACACGTAAGTACATTTTTTCAGCCGCAGACTAGCATATCATAATCTAAATCGACTGCGTCTAAGAAAAATGTTTATTTTATCAGTAGAAATTTCTATAATAATTGATGTATGGATTTTATTTAGTTATTTATCAACCAACGAATTTGTCGAACTCTTGACAGAAAGGACATGATTAGGGTATGCATGATGCCATTATTTAAACAATCATGTAATGACAGGCATTGATGTCCAAATGTTGAATACATTGTTGAGGCCCTTCGAAATGGAAATTTTATATTTTATTATATTATACAGAAATAAAAAATGCCTGTTCCTCCAAATCTTGCTAACGTTTTTTTCCTAACGATGATAATGTTAAAAACTGAAGAGAATCCTAGTAAATTCCACTACAACCATAAAATTCCTACTGTGACGACAAATCCGAACATCATAAAATTTTCACTAATAGCGCGACAATATTATATCATATTCAAAATATTAACTAACAAAGAATTAAATGTCCCATCCATGTTTACTTACACTTAATTGGCGACTCAGCATCGGATTTTGTTGCGATGATGTGATTTTGTTTGTACCATAATTTGAACCCATTTGATCTGTAACATACGGAATAATAATTGGTAGAACTTTTTTAAGTCATAAATTTATTACTATTTAGTACACAAATACATAGATACGAATTATTCAACTAGTAGTAAAAAAAAACAAGTTTTTTTTTTATTATTATTATGAAAGCAAACGAGAAGACGGTCCACCTGATGACAAGCGACTAACTTCGCCCATGAACACTTGCAATTTGTAGGCATGTGTTTTGAAAAGTCCCATATTGTATTGAAAGCGGAAAACTGCAGAAGAGTGCCCATTCCATAACCCAGATGTTCAAGGTAGAAATGACTGGAATTCACAGATAGTGGAGGGGGTGTGCCAGTACTAGGTCGTATATATACGTATATTACTTGGAACACTCCCTATTAATAGTTACAAAATGAATATAGAAACACTTTCCCGCCTCAACCTCAGGGAATCCCAGCTATACGTCAGGGGGGGAATGGATTGTTAGTAATGTGATCTCACAGCCTAGGGTATTATCCCTAATACCCTGGGCTGTGAAATGGGGGGGGGGAGGATTGTTAGGGTTTTTTTTAATGGGTGAAAATGGCATGGTAGCCCTACCTGCGCTATCGGGATACACTGGCAAAGCACCAGTGAGGAATGATAGGTAAGGATGAAAAGACAGGTCAGTTAGCCCACGGTGAAGAACCCAACGATAAATTAGTCACGATAGTTTCCAGGGGGAACCGCATGGAGGTCGACCTGATAGGGTATATTGATAGAATTGGCGACTTACTCTCCCATTACTAACAATCACTTCCCCCGCGCAGGCAGGGTTACCATTCCATTATCATTCATTAAAAAAGAAGAAGCCCAGGATATATTATTAGCAATGGCTAACAATATACACTGTCAGCCCGACTTCCACACGGTTGCCCTTGAAAACTAAATAATAGCTGATTGTTGAATTCGTCACGATAGGCCAATTGACCTGCTGAGAATGAATCTCACCTATCATCCCTTATTGGTGCCCCGCCAACGTATACCGTTAATGCAGGCGGGACTACCATTCCATTTTCATCCATTAAAAGAAAGCCGTCGGTTAAAATGCGACCGTCGACTACGCGAACTGAACGACGTCATATGAAATCAAGTGAAATGAGTTAATATTGGGGTGTGCTCAAAGGTGTAAGCAGTACTCCATATGTGGGTGAACTTGAGTTTATAAAGCAAAAGTCGATACTGGAGACTGAAACACTTTCGCCTTATTCAGGACCTCAAATAAGTTGAAACCCAATTTTTCCTCCTACAGACATTTTATAATTACAATTTTATTATATTAGTAAGATTTAACCCCTTAATGCACATTTTTTAATCTATTTAGGTAAAAAAAAATATTTTTTGTGCAAATAATTATTATTTGAGCTTATTTTAACTAATTTATGCAAAAAAAAAATCCGAAAATGGCATAAATCTACCATCCAACGTGACAGATACAGACTTAAAATATTTGGAAAATTATATTTCTATATTAACCGTGATCCATACGGAGCTGTAATATTTTGAGACATATAAAATTACAGTGACCGTGACGTTCATGGAGCTGCACATTTCTGCCGGTAAACGTTGCAGGTATATGTCACGGAGGTGTACATTAAGCGGATATTATTAATTAAAAAAAAAATCTTATACTATACTCACTGGATGTGTGATATAAATGATGATAGTCCGCCGTGCGGGTGAGAGCTACATTTGGTGGTGTGCCCGATACGAGGGCAGTAATGGTAGAGCTCAGGTCTGGCTGCGGCTGCTCAGCAGCCTAATAACAATAGACATCAAAAAATTAATAAATAAAGGTAAAATGAGAGAAATCTTAGATATGTATAAATAGCTGTGTCTATAGAAATGTTGTACCAAAAGCAGGTAACATTTTTATTCATATGTATGTGAACAGGATTACCATAATGAAGATATGGGAGAAATTACACTGTAAGGTAAAAAATACAAATAAAAACAATACAAAATTGTTACGAATATATTTGAAAGAATGCTTTTTTATTATCTTCTTTTTTAAACAGGTGGCAAACAAGCATACGGCCAACCCGTTTTAGAGTTTATTACTGAATTACGCTTAAATGGCTCAAAGAATTTCGATAAAATTTAGTCTCAACACATAGGATACTTCATATATTGATACACGCTGGAAACGGTTAGTAAAAAATAAGTTAAACGAGACCTCTGGCGAGACGAGCATTTGTTGTGAGCGCTGCATCTGCAGCAGGCGCGCTCGATGCTGCTCAACCAGAGCGCGGCCACGGGCCACCTCCGCGGTCGGGTACATACCACCCACGCCGCTCACACTGCCCATGTTGCATGATCCCTGATAAATAAATAAAATAATAACATTTAAAGATCAGACTCCTAATATGCCCCTATATATATAATTTATTATCATATTATACCTAAAAGATAATATTTATTACCGTCTCTTTAGAACCATAAACCATGCAATGCGAAATGTTACAAGTTAGTATGGCTCTAAAGAACTTTGTAGCATGCGATTTTAGTATTTTTAGAGTGTTACTAGAATTAAACTAAAATGTATGTTGAAGATTATATTATCATAGGACTTAAAAATGTGGGAGTATAAGGAAAATAGAAGTTATAAACGATATATTGCAGTCCAAAATGTCATTTTTAGTTAGAAAAATATATATTTTAATAAGACACTAACCATGGTTTTGTCAGTCTCTTATCTTTCATTAACGTAAAAATTTCAGGAAATTTCCTTCTTAGTGCTCAACTAATTTATATAAGGAACTGATTATTGTGTCTGAATCATGATTAAACAACATATTTGTAGACTTGGCTGTTTGTCCATCCCCGCTGTCACCAGAACACCACCCAGATCGAGATGACAACGGTAGACAAACGACCTTACAATTATAGTTAAATCTTGTCTATTTAGGACAATGGATCTTACCGGACTTTGTACATCGTACACCGGGGGTGCTCCAGGACTTGACGCTACGGGACTCTTTGTCACAGTTTCACACTGCATCAAACTTTGTCTGATTGCATTGATTACAGCATTTTTCTCTTTCATACCCTGTAATTATAAAAATATTGTTATATAATATGAAAATACATCTATGTACAATACTCGCAATTGCATTCGGATTCGAAAATAAATATATTTTTTGTTGTATTTTTAATACAAACCTGATAGGATCTAATTTGTCGACTACTCTCTTGATCGATTAGCACGCTAACATCGGGCGCTGGCCGATCTGAGTCTGGCATATTGTCAATTACTTCGTCTAAAAGGTCCGATAAAGTTTGATCACTGGGCACTTCACTGTCACCGCCGCCACCGCCGCTTTGCGCCCGAGAACTGCCACTTCTGAAAACGTTTCGGAAATTGAAAACGTTCTAATCTTAATTACCTACAGCAGCTTATAAAATTTGACAAAACATATTTAGTATATGGTATAGAAGACAAATTTTCTATCAAAAAAAAAAATTTAAGTATAACAAAATATTGTTTTTATTCAGGAATCCAGAAAGGAAAAATAAAACAGCATCCAGAAAACTGTTTTTAATTAATTGTATCGATTTCAAATTCCATGTTTTCACCAAACATACATTATGTCTTGCAGTAGCTTCAAAGGTTTACCTTTGAAGGACAATCAATTATGGTACATTTTGCAACATGCGTTGTTAACGTCATCATTATAATTTTAAATAATCATTCGCCTACGTTCAGCAAGTGAAGTGCGTATATTGTACAACAATATTAATTTGTAATAAACAGTTTGAGACTTTAAAATATTAATATTTTAAATTTTAACAAGGATTTATCAATTTCAATATTTCTCAACCCTTAAATCGGATAAAACCTGACTTTCACTTGTCTCACGACAATCGTTTTTATTTATCACAGACACAACCTCTTTCGCGACAAAACAAATTTGGCCATCTTTACATCTGTAAGTTTAACTCGCACAAATAAATTACGTAGGACTGATCGATTAATAAACGATAAATTACATACAAATGTTTATATTTACTAATTTAACACTGAAAGTACTTACGTGAGTAAAATTTAAAGGTGTAAAGACGGCCTAATAGTAAAATGTGGTATACTGACGGTGGCTGATTGTTGTACATGTGATGCGGCGCCGTGTTGGCGTAATGCAGAGGGGCAGGTGCGGGCGCGGGCGGCGGCGGGTAGGGCCCGCGCGAGCCCTGCAGCACCATCTGCAGGTGGCTCTGCGCTGTGGACTCCGCCACGCCGCCCACGCCGCCCACGCCGCCCACGCCGCCCACACCCGCGCTCGACACTACGCCTGGCCCGCCGTTTACATTACTCGCACGGCTGCTGTTTGGAAATGTTAATACTTTACTGAAAACAGCAATTTACTGCACAGTAATATTGTATGCATGCATGCAGGCTAAGCTGAGTAGTTCCAGAGTGGTTTTACAAGGTCGAAGCTCCAACACAGCTTTTTTACAATGCTATTTATTCCTTATTTAATAAAAAAAAAATATGGAAATTTATAGATAACATAATGTGTAATATACCTATGTGTATATTTTACTCATAAAAATAAATTAAATATGACTTAGTCTACATAAATGTCGATGTAGGTTTATTTACTATCTCTTAATATCCTAATGACTACCAATAACTCATAAAATGTACTAAATATTTATACAGACTTTAATAGTATTCAAATGATGACATGTTGTTGTTTACCTATTAAGATAATTAAAAGCTAATTATACTCCAACGAAGTCATGTATACGAATAATAAGTAAATAATAAAATAGCTTACTGTGCGGGCCCCGTGAGTATGGTGGAGAGCGTAGAGTGATGATGCGAATGCCGCTGCTGCGGGCCCTGCGGCTGGTGCGGGTGCGGGTGCTGGTGCGAGTGCGGGTGGCCGTGCGGGTGCGGCGGCGGTGGCGGCGCTCGCAGCCGCGGCACGGGCGGGCCGTACGGCCGCAAATTGGGGTTCGGCAGCGGCAGCGGTGTCGTCGGTGTCGTTTGCTGCCGCGCCAGCAGCGACACCAGGATCTGATTCTTCTGGCACAGCGGGCTCATGCCGGCACTACTCGTCGCCGCCGGACTGGTTGCTGTCGACGACGGTGTCGACGATGCCACGGGAACGGCGCTTGAGGTGACCTGCAACATACTCAGTGGTCAACTTACGAAGACATACTGGTAACAATAGGTAACAATGACAATATAAAATTAAACAATTTTTATGAAATTAAATTCATTTAATTTCATTAAACTTTTAATTAAAATAACTGTTTTAAAATCTTTTTATATGACTTGGCGTGGTTAGCAGTACTGGTATCCTACAGACATGAATGCACAGTATTATTATTCATATTTATTATTTCTGAAGACAAGGGTGTTGTACCTCCATATTCATTTATTATTACATTAACTCTTAAGAAAAAAAGCCACTTACACAACACCTTTCAAATACAAGGCCTTCTAAATCTCATTCATTCCAATCGGCGTAAAGATTAAACGTTAAGACAGAAATCATCTTAGCATGTCTTGCCTACACATTTAATTGTGATATCTTATATATGAGTGGAAATAAATGTAAAATAATGTAAAAATTTCACCTGTTGATTTTCAAGCGTCGCTCTTTTGACATTCCCGGCCGCATTTTTATCTTCAAGTTTACGTTTGACCCCAGCAATTCTCTCTAAATAATCATTATTTTCTTGAGTTCGCCCATTGCCAGGTCCATTTGTGCTTGACAATAATTGAGAGAGCAATGCACTCGGTTGCGAAGTACTGCGTCCTTCGGAATTTCTTCTTTCTTCGGCATCCTCGTCAGACTTATCATTTAATATCTAAAAATAAAATTATCATTTTACACGATTGTAAAAATGTAATAAATATTATTCATCAGACACATTTTATAAACAACACTTACCCTCAACAGCACATCCGAGTTATGTGACTGTTGTAATGTGTGCTGCGCGGAAGAAGGGTGTGGATTATGGGGTGGATGTGGAGGATGCGGCGGATGAGGAGGATGTGGAGGATGCGGCGACGGCCGTGAATGCGTCTGTGCAGTGTGGAGCGGGGACATGGCCGCCGCGGGCGTGTGAGGTGTATGAGGTGTGTGCGGTGTGAGTGGGGTATGAGGAGCCGACGTCTCGCTGCCAGTTGCCTCTTCATCCTCCTGTTTGAGAAGGTCCTTTAAGATGCGATTGTTGGAATTCATCCCGCTGTCCGCGCAACTCGACATCGGTTTCTTACTAAGCAGAGAGCGCAACCGATTGGGTTCCTCGGGCGGCGGGGCGGCGGTGGCGGCGGTGGCGGCGGTGGCGGCTGCGGGCGCGGGGTGCGCGGGGTGCGGCGCGTGCGGCGCGTGCGGCGCGTGAGGCGCGTGCGGCGGGTGCGCGGCGGGCGCGGGCGCGGCGGCGGGCCCACCATCGCCCGGCGTCGCCGGCGCACGAGGCGTTTGTGGCGTCTGTGGACCCTCCGAGCCGCTTTCTTTGCGGTCCTTCGACTCTTCGCTCGACATATCTGTCAGTTGAAACGACGGCGGCCACGGGTCGAGGTCGACGAAGTCGTTGATCGAAAACTGATCCCCGGGACTCATCGGAGAACGATATCGGTTATCGCAACTAGAAGACTCTCCGTTGGCGACAGAAGACATAAGTGGTCCGCCGATAGTAGAACGGGGCTGATCAGCTTCGAGAAGGTCGAGATCTTCGTCGCCGAGCACGGTGTGTGTCGACATTATGAAATCAGACTCGCCCGAAGTCGGTTTAGCCCGAAACAGTCGCGATCGAGCGCTGACCCTAAGCCACGGCCGATCGACCGCGATACGTATACGAAAAGGGCCGCTGACACTCGGTGGTGCGGGATAACACACGGCTTGCTGTAGATGTGTAACCACACGAACACGATCAACACTTTCAATTAGTTCCAAATAGCGTGTACCCACGAGAGATACAGGAGAGTTTATATAATTTTCCACTCCACTTAAATCACAAGCTGAAAAAAATAAAATAAAAAACTTTAAGATCAGTAGATAAATAAAAGACCTTGATAGTGGTCACTCAGTATCTAGAAGTCACCAATTTTATTCCTAAGTTTATCACTCTTCCGCAACAATTGACTCTCCTATGATGTACTCATTGTCTGCAATATTAAATTTCCAACTTGCTTGACAAAATGTAACAAAATCAAGCGATACGTTTACCTCAAAGATGGTGCCGATAATTTGTAGAGACAATTTACTGACAGTGTCACTGCAGATGGGGTAGTTATAGGGCTACCAGATTAGGTTTACCCAACGTAAGATTAACTGCTCTTGTTATAAATTACGTAATTAATCTTCTCGCTTTTGTATTAACAACAACCTTTCAAATCTGATCCTAATTTATTATAAGGTTGAAACAACTTACACAGAATGATATAGTTGCAGTCTAATCTAAAGACGATATGATCAATTTGTTTAGCGCTGATGGCGGGCGGGCCGCCGTCGACAGGGAGAAGTGCGGCCGACGCGTCCTCGCAGCGCCGGATGACGCACATGACGGAGCCGGCCTCCTCCGAGGATGAGCCGCGCACTGGCGCAGCGTGGATCACTGCTTCCACGTACCTTAAATAACAGAGCGCCTCTTAATAATCTCACAAACATATAATGCATAAATAAGGCTATTATGGTAGATGTCGCAAGAGGCGAGAAGGGAGGACGAGGGATAGGCAGCAGCATCCCTCTTAAAACATCTCCAAAACCTAACTACGGTTGTCAATCCGCCTGCCAAGCATTACAACTACTGTCAAAACCCCCCAAGAGGGAGGACTACGTTTAGCAACGGACAGTTAAAGGCTTATATGATGAATATAACTAAAATATCCAGGAAAGCTCTTTTGACAAAACTCACAAGAACAGAAAAACTCAGATAAACATAAACATGGAAAAAAAAAACAAAACGCGGGAAAATTATAGCCCTTTCTTTTTATTGCTTTACACGACTACATATTACATGCATACTGCATCACCTATGCCCCGCAAATATTTTATGTTTAGTTTGAATGACAATGATAAATAGTATTACTTTTACATGGAGATTTTTTATTCTTCTTCCCTTGCCCTCCTTTAGTCTCCTCTTACGAAACCCACATTTCCCGTGAATGGGATGGCCTATTCTATGCCGAGACTTACAAGGAAGTTATTTATATTACTATTATTATAACAGAGAATCAATTATGGACATCTTTCTTTAGTACGAAAAGTATTTACGAGTAGCTATTATCGATCTGAAGATTTCGATATTATTGGCTTTTCATATTTACAACTTAGAATGGCAAACAAGTTGTAGTCCTCGTCTATAGGCGTGAAAGCGTAAAAAAATATTGCAAAATACATTTATTATGCTTTAACGTTGCCATTTCTGAGGTTAAGGTGTTATGCTTTCGTAACATCTAATTTCATTTCTATATACATATTCTTTTTATGTAAAATAAACCAAAATATCTTTGATCTACTGGTACTATATTCGCTACACTGCATAATGACTTACTGAAGTTAGAAAAACTATTTGGCTGTAGAAATCGTTTTAGAGTGTCAAATGATAGATGCATAGTATACAAAATATTATAAAACACATAATTTTCATCATTTGAGCCGCCCGCTTGTTTATTATTCTAAGTGTCTTAAAAGATATGTATTAAAATTAAAATTACAGTTTTAGAAACCGTCCACGTGCCTAAACAGCTGTACGGCAATTCGGGTTGCATTTGCTTTTTCGTGATAATTCAATCTTGTTCCTTGATAGATATTAGAAATGTTTAATCATTTTTTTATAATAAAAACATACACAGATGAAACAGTATTTTAAATATGCCAGATATTCTACTAATAAACGATCATTAAAATACCACTGAATGTTAAGGTAAATAGATTTAAACATTACGCATTCTTCCCATTTATATATACGTAAAATCTTTAAGTATATATCAATACAAATAGATACCTGTTGCTTTAGATTAAATTAAGTATAGTTAATAATTATTCTCTTTCATATCAATTGCTACGTTTATATATCTTTATATAGATAGGTGTAATCGACATCTTATCGTGCGTCCAACACGATTGGCTATCGGAATGAAATAGCAAAATATATTTATAAACAGATAATATTAAACTTGTATTATTATATCTAAAAAATAGTCAATCTCTATATTCTACTACATAGTTTCACATCATCCTGATAAAATTAGAAAAGATAGATAAAAATTAAAAGACGTGAACCGTTTTTTAATAAAGAAATATTAACTATTTGAAAATAATCGGAGCCCTACGATAATTAACTCTAGTTACAAAACAGGATTCCATATTTAATCCTAGAAGTTCTAAAAATACGACGCAAGTTACTCTTGTCCAGATTATGAAGATTGTATTCTATGTCCGTTATTTGGGAATCAAACTGTTTACAGTTACCATTTCTATTTATTGAAAGTTCTTTCAGTAGAACAGGAATACATAAATTAAAAATCTTATGTGAACGCGCCTCTTAATGTACACATATAGCTTACTCATCCTTCAATATGAGAATAGATTCCCTGTTGATGTCGAGCAATGTCGTGATAACTGACAATAAGGCATGTCAAACAAGTCTTCACAGTACAATCCGTTACATGACTTTAATATAAAAATTGGTGCGTAATAATAGATTCAAAATATATTTGTGACACACTGACCGTCCAACAACAAACAGCACAACCGCACAAACCGCCGACTTCAATTTTTTTTTATACAACTTAAAATGGCAAACAAGATGACGGCCCACCTGATAGAAAGTGGTAATCGTCGCCTATAGACATGAGCAGTACCATGGACATAACAAAGTATACTGTTTCGCCCATGATACCCCCGTCAAAACAGATTGACGCTCATTTCACAAAATTAACAGTTCCTAGTCTTTTTGGGGGAATTTGTTTAGTTTCATTAATGTTGTCATTAGATTTTGGCTTGGTACACCCTTTATGATTACCCCGTATAATCTAAAAGACACAAAATATAAGCGAAAATAAAAAAGGGTAATATGTATGCAAAATCATCTCCTTTATATTATGTAAGACTAACCAAGTATAAAATTTTCAAATTTAAATATAAAATACATAAATTGAAATAAAATATACGAAATAAATTGAAAAAATGTTCTATTAAAGTTCTATTTAAAATTAATATTCATATAACAAGCAAAATATATATTAAATACGAGGTATTTAATACGAAAACAGTTCAATGCTGCTCAAGGATGCAAATACGAATGGTTTTCACGACTGAGAATTATTTATATTATTTCGGTTCTCATTATGAAATTCAGGCTACTATACCCATGCCGATGCGGAAACCAAAAACAGAGACATTATTGTACACATCTGTTGGAAAGTTCAATTTATAAATGATAATCAGCATAATAACTTACCCAGATCCGTCAGTACCATTAGAGTTCTTGACAAGCAATCTAGCTTGAATAGCTTTAAACTTATCAGTCTCGCCTGCACTCCAGGCAAACGTTTGTATGTCTCTTAACAAGGGCTTTAATTTAGCTTGATCGTTGACATGCAAGAGAGAGAATATAGACTTTTTGTATAACTCCGTTCGATCCTGCAGAACAAGGTCCTTGATGTTTTCGGTTACACATTCAATTTCACCTTTTGAATTTATTTCTAGTAATACCCAACCGAGGCTCCCAGTGTAATGTTTAAGCGCCTAAAAAAATATTAGAACGTTACTATGTAATAAATATTTAATCAAATTAGCATATAATACAAAATTAATTAAATAAAAATTTAACCTATTTTTATAGAGTTATTAGCAATTTTATATGGAAATCATACGTTTCTGTGTTGAAACATTTACGAGTATACCAAGTCAAACTAGATACAAATACTAGGTTGCAAAATAAGTTACAGTTTTTCGCAAAAAATTACACAGTACAATTTACTCGAACAATACTCTAAATAAAACTCCATATCAAGCCACCTAGACAGCATGGTAATAATAGACTGCCTATATTTTCCACTCTCATTAGTGTCCAGCGATAAAATCCTAATGGTTATGTAAGAATCGATGGAGTTACTCAGGAGAAATAGATTCTTCCATTTAATAGTTTGTCTTTAGTAAAACACACCTCAATAAGCGTCGCAAGCTCTGAATAATGTAGTCCAGCCGTCAGAGGCTGGGGCTGCGTAGAGCTGACCTCACCAGCCTGGACAGGCGAGAGGCATTGGGCGATACGTAGTGGGCATTCGCTAGGGCACTGGCGCCGTCGTTTCAACACCTCCTGAATCTGACGAGTGGCCTCGCGGACGATGCCGTTTTTATCTGGCTGCTTGACTTCAGCCAAACATGTACCAAGGAGCTCCTCGAGCTGATTTATAGTTTCGTTTTCAAGTTCCCGTCTTTTCTTTTCGTTGTTACACTTATTTCTGTAAATCATAATTATTAAAAATTACAAATGAATACAGAAAAAAACAACAAACACAATTATGGGTCCACTTTTTTATATTTATAATTGTAGTCAATCAATATGAAAATTATTAGAAAATATATAATTCAGATTCATTCTAATGATAAATTTTATAAACATAGGTTTATTGGAAGTCACTTTTAAAATTTAAATTCAGTAGTTTGTGTAGTTTATATAAATAACAAAAACATGTAATAAGCAAAGTACGCGATTACTTTGTTGATATTGTCAGTAAAGATATATGTATAAGGAGCTATAAGTCCTATATACATATATCAATCAAGTGTTTTCTCAGATATGCACATTTAAACATTTTGAAAAAATATGTATACGATAGGTTATAAGAGTACAAGTGTAGAAGAAAAACAAGGTTCTAAATGTATAACAATAGGTATATAACATTTTAAATAGAACGATAAGATTTGGATTGTGCATAGACTTAGATGGAGATATCTGAAGACTGTTGTCATTTTAACTTACTGAATAATAAACAGCACGAAACACATATCACAATATGTAAAAACAGGATTTTTAGTGATGTATACCATTAGTTTAAAAAAAAAGGAAATATAATCATAAAATCTGGTCCCATCTTTGTTTTGATCAGAAAATTAACACAATGTAAATAATCTCTTATAGTTATTTTTTTTTTATTATTATTATTATGAGTTGTCTATAAGATCAATAACATGGATAATAAATATAATGTACGTGGTCTTTACTTATTATACTATAAACACCTACATTATCAGTGATCAATGATAATTATATATATTCATATATATGCGAGGAAAAAGTCAATTGCGTGAAAACGAATGTAAGTACAGTAACAATTAAAAGTATTTGAGCAACTTAGCAGGTTAAATAATTCTACTATCCATTCAAAGTTAATATCAAAATGTATATCATCGAAATGTAAAATATTATCATCATATACTTTATTTAATTTTTGCAGGTATCAAATGAAAACTACAATCAGATAAACTGTATAGTATTAAATGGAGAAATCAAAACACAGGCTACTAAATTATCTGCATTCCCTGCTACAAGGCATAGTATTATATATAAAAAAAAAGGAATATCATGTGTTGGTAGCATGATGTAATTATAAAAATAAAAATTACATTTCTAAACCGTGATGCTTCTTTGATTCGTGAGACGAATTATGGGGATGAATGAAACAGAAGTATATTAAAGAAGTCTTCGCCACTGTCTATTTATCCGTAAAATACCTTGCCAGATCATAATCTTTAAAATTATCATCTGTTTACTATTTCATATTATTACGTATTTATGATTTATATTTAAATGGTGTAATAGTAGCAAAAACACAACAAACAAATATAGAAATATAGTTGTTTGCTAACTCTATTTTCTTTTTATAACATTTGTTGGTAACAATAGGAAATGTATATCGAGTTAATGACAGGACCAATTAAATACTAAAAGTCACACTAAAGATATTACTAACAGATATAAATGCCGCGTATTCCTTTAAAAAAAACCAACAATTTGTACTGGTACTGGTCTCAGGAAATATGGACTAGCTACTCGTATACAGAGACATTTTATATGTATATCATACGTGCGAAGACGGGGCAGGTTAGATAGTATATGATAATTATATTTATTAGATAATTTAGTGTCTGTATTGGGTTTCCTTTACCATACTTTATGATATTGAACTTATTACATTTGGGGACGTTTAAATATTACGTGAAGCAATTTTTGAGGATGTTTTACCTTCCCTCCTCCATGTAATACACCGTAACATTTTTCAGTACTCCTCCCCCCACCCCCTGAATAAACACTACGTAAGACTCAACTGACCATTTTTACTTAAATGTCACAACACTAACGAATACCAAAATAAAAATGGCGTACATACAGCTGATGGATTCCCCGTAAAACATAAAAGAACAGGGTTGCCAACTTGGGAGATTTTAATTCCATACTTTACTATTTAAATAAAACAGTTACGTAGTACGGTTTTTGTAACGCATCGTAACGTTTTATAAGACAAAATTGCGTCACGTAATAATACTTGAACGCCCTTTTTATCGCAACAAACTGACAATATCATTTTAACAATAAATATGTACTGAATTAATAATAAATACTGAAAGCGTCGTGGTTAATAGTTTATTATACCGAATTATAAATCGTCAGATTGAGTGTTTTTTATCAAGCCGATAGCCTAACTACAGCAATTGCTGATGCCACTCTCGTACTGTTGTTTTGACTAATGAGTTACACGTTTATGTTAAACTTTTTACAATAGCTCGACATCATATTACACAAGAACCATATGACAATCCGTTGTACAATACGTGAACAAAATAGAATCGACCCGTGAATAAACCAACAATTCACGAGTCAACCATTCTATTTCAACCTAGTAACTGCTTCTTAACATGTTTGTTGATTAAGATACAAGACAGTAGGAGGGAGACTTTGTACAAAAGTCGATTGCTTGGGTACCTCTGTCCCATTCGTGTTTCAATCGTGAAGTAGTTATGTTTGCATGGCTGTGTTTCGGTTTGAAGGGTGGGATATGGCGTGAATTTAGTGGGTACAGAGGAATAACACCTGAGTCCTAGCATGGTCCTGGAATGGCAACGCATGGGGGTATCATGGGCGAAACAGTATACTCTGTTATGTCCATGGTACTGCTCATGTCTATAAGCGACAGTTACCACTTTCTATCAGGTGGGCCGTCAGCTTGTTTGCCATTCTAAGTTGTATAAAAAAAAGTTTCATTTTTAAATGATATACATGTATTTCACATAATGTAATTTAGTAAAGTTACCAAACTTGGATATGTACAAAAAATATGTATTGCATTCATAATATAATGATGTACATAACCTTAGATCATTCCATATATTATGCTGACGTCCACGTACTGCTTCACCTACTTGACTCTTAGTTTACATGACGTTTTCGTTTCCGCTTCAATGTTCAAAAGACTAATCTTTTACTATAGCTAGGTGTTGCACACGTACTCTCTTTCGAACCCATTAACCCGTTTCCTTGGAAATTTCGAGAAATTCCATCTCAGTAGTGCTCGTCATTATAATACATATCTAACTTTTATAATAAATTCCTATCGACAATTTGAACTTCCCTGTATGTTAGTTAGCATTAGTTTTATTATTTATACAGTTTAAACCAACACAAATTAGATTCTTTCGAAATAGAGGCATACACATATGGCTCTACTTCGAAAATAGTTGGAATAAAAAATAATACCGTTGACATGCAACCATAACGGATCGGATCTCAATGCTAAAACTGTTTATCAAATTTAAAATTATATTAGTAGGTATTAATTACCAACTGAATGATTAAAATATATTTATATACACAAGTAAATAACACAATAAAGCAGAAAATTGCAAAGTAATAAAATAACAGAAACAAAATCTTATTAAGTATTAGTTTATATTAGTTACATTATATTCTCGAAATTGACAAATCAAAGGGTTGAAATTAATTCCAGTACCATCGTAGTTGATGACATATCATTATTTATAATAGCCACAGACTGTATAACTATGTCAGCTTATTTCACATACTATTTCATTGTAGTCTAGCAAATCAGTTCTAGAATTTCTACAACTACTTTTTATTTTAAAATTCTGTGTATTCTTAGCGTTTATTATTTTTATTTTATACTAGTTTTTACCCGCAACTTCGTCCGCGTGAGATGTGTTCACTGACCGGGATAAAAAGTAGCCTTGTACATCCCATATAATACATGTATATCAAATTTCATAATAATTGGTTAAGTTGTTAAGGCGCTAACACGTAACAAACAATGAAATTAACTCACTTTAACATTAATAATATTAGAAAAGATATTAAGTATCGTATCTAAATAAATGACGATAAAAATATTAGTTTCATATCAGCGCCTTTTTCAAAACTTATAAAACATTCGTTAGTGAAATTTCACATCAAGGAGTATGTCAGGGATAGATGATCCTTTGTCAATACTTTCAAAGATACAAATCAGATCGGGCAGAACTATTGCAGTTATTGTTTCGATTATTTCACCTACATTAAACTTTGTGAAATTTAGCTGTTTACTGTAGCTACCGTATGCTGTTTATACATTAATAAAAAAATATCAGCGCATGTAACATTTAAATTCTAAATGTAATTGTAAAATATTATATACTCGTATTCAAAAACGGAGAAGGTTTTCAAATTGATTGTATATTTTGTATTTTTGTTACTTTAACTCCGTCAAATTATAAACCAATTTAGAGAATTATTTTATATTTTTTATCTGAAAGAATGTATTTTCAGATTCATCCCATAAAAAAATTTTACCAAATTCAATTCAGGGGTTTAGTTTCTAATCCATTGGTTTTGTCACGGTTGAAATAGGCTTTTTTTTTTGTTTTTTTTTTTGGGGACAAAATAGCAAATTATTTAATATTGTTTAGGCAACAGTATTTAATCATTTGTTTTGTACTGCTAAAAAACAAATAAATAATACTTTAAGATTTAAAAAAATCAATTTTGACAAATTAAAACTAATATGAGAGCAACCCAATAAGTAACTGATAGTAATACAATCAATAATACTTAATACAAATAAATCATCATAATCATCATCATTTCAGCCATTATCCGTCCATTGCTAGACATAAGCCTCCCCCATAGACTGTTATTAAGAACGATCCTGATCCACCTGCATCCACTGATTCCCTCAATCCAAATAAATGTCAGGTAATAACTATTGTTAGCACTAAACTTATATCCAAAATAAATATGTCAAATTTGTTTCTGCATTTTGAGAGAACCGTTATTTCATTCTGTCCAAAAGTCAAGAACCTGAGTCTGTTAACTGGACCTTTGAAAGCATTTTCTAAAGTCTGAAGTGTGTCACAGAATTACAGGTATACAACGTACTCTTTACCGCTTTAAATTTTATCTTCCTCCTTCCACTAAATTACTCCTTATCTAATCCCTAATACTTTCGCATTTTAATTATGCCGATGTGTCTTACTAACATCTTGCAAGAACAGATACATAAGTTGGATTGTTTTCTTAACAACTGTATTCGATTCATCTTTGGGCTACGGAAGTAGGACCACGTTTCTAAGTTTCGCACTCAAATGGTTGACCATTCGTAACCGCAGAGATACGCGTATCGTTTGTACACAGTTCTCTATCATCAATAATACTTCCACTTCCACTTATTTGAAAGATTATTATTATTATATTATTATTTTTAATATTTATACTTTTCAGTTCACGAAAGACTGGGAATCTTTCGTAATCCCTTTTCAACTTACAATCTTTTTGCAACACCACACGTCATTCTAGATTTATCTATGTCCAATGCATTCATTGTCACTGTCATAAGTTTAGAATAGAAAACCTGTGAATCTGCGAATCGCACCGAATAAAATAGTTTAATTTATCTGTTGAATCAATAATTTCAATTCTATATTTTACTCAGTAGTTAAATAAATATATCACAACATATCTATCATCGTGTTAATATTTATTAAAGTAGGTATATGTATGTATATATTTTGTATATATTCATGTTATTCGGTATGATATTTATTATCATGTCAATATATTAATAGGTAAATTTAATTTTTTGTGTAATATAATAGGTGGCAGGTAGAAAATGACACACAGCATTATCAGTTGTACACACGTCTTATTTGTCCCTTACAAAACATTAATTTTGAGAGGTTTATTTTTTCATATTTTTTCGTTAACCTAATTCTGTCTTCATTTATCTTTATATAGAACAATATTGTTAGTCACATGGAGCATTGTTACCTGAAAGCCAATGATAGCATCATAGACTAATTTTGTCAAGAAACATAGAATATGAAAACATACTTCAACTATAGAAACATTGAAAATATTATATTTTTTAACGTTATGAATTCAAGATTTAGACTAAATTCCCCAGTAAATAAAGGTCAATATTACACCCATAGCCATTTCGAATTATCAATGTAAATTATTACCTAAAATAAACGAATTGATATTGTATGTAATCTGAGACAGGTTACAATATCGTTGATAGGCAAGATGAAAATGATTCTAATCTCTGATCGTTTAAAATGATAACACGGGGGCGATTCTGAAACGCCATTTCTCTAAACCTATCTTTATAATTTCAATTAAAGAACTCTGATATTCTAGACTTTGTTTACTAACTCCTTGTATGTGGTGTCGGTAAACTGATTTTGTTTTAGGTCATTTAGGTGCTTCGCTAAAGTCAAAGATAATCCTTTTTTTAAGAGACGTTTGCTATTAGTTGACTGAAAATGTCGACTGTTAGTAATATACATCAAGTTTGATATCAATATTTTACAAACCATATATGCTATAGTGTAGCATAATCATACCGGAGCTATCTCTGGTTCAGATAGTTATACAAATAAATCGAGTAATGATAGGCGAGATCAACGTCTAAACGTACATATCGAAGCTGAGAATGTGTCATTTTATTGATACACTGATTAATTGAATAATTATATACTTATTCCATACTTTACTCTTTTTTCTATTGAGAAACAATTTAAATACACAAATAGTGTAAGGTGTGAAATGTCTGAAAAAGCAAACAAAATAAACCCCAAAATATAAAAACACCTAAACACATTATACGTACATTTGAGATTGCGGTTTATTGTCTGACTTTTTTCTTATCTTCTTAACCGGCGCTGTCACGCTCATCTTGCTTTGCATCCCCCTCCATGTGTCTCCCAGTTGGAGTTCACAGGATTCAACTCTACAGAAGCAGCAAAAAAATAAGCTATTAAAAACTTTTAAATGATTAATGATTACTAAATATAAAAAACAATATATTTAAAGTAAATGGAGTGAATTTGTATATATATATTTTTAACACTTACTATGTAAAAGTGGAATTTATTAATTTAAAAATGTAATAAACATGCTAATAATTAAAAAAGAGAATAAAAATAATTACTTAATGACAGTATTTATTTCGCTATCTGAACATGAAAAGCCATTTGCAACTCATTTAATCTATCTAGGTACCTATCTACATGAACGATAGACAATTCAAACAATTCCCCAATCACTTATAATTATTGTTGTACAAATGTATGATGACTCATATCTGTTTAATGCCGTTGAGGTAGCTGGGTATTTGTTTATTCAAGTTTTTATATTATAAAATATCCATTCAATGGTACCTAATACGTTATTTGCTTTTTTGAAACTTCAACTTGATGTACATAATCGTAAAAGAATAGCTTGATATCAAGGAATACCTAGTTATGTTCACATTGACTCGACTCATACATATCAAATGCCAAGTACAGAGCAAGCTAACTGAAGCTTAATGCGAAACAGGGACAGAGATACCAGTTGAACGCCTACCGAGGAGCCCCACTACGCAACCTCACTGCGACGGCCGCGCAACCTTGAAATAATAATGTTCGGAATAACAACAACGCGCCATAAGCGTGACCAGAAATAGTATAATAAAATAATTCTCGAAAAATTTTGAAGCCTTCCTAGCACGGCTAGCACCTACATCCTGTGTGTTTGGGACGTTCTTTTGTTTATATGTTGCGCTACATGTATGGAACAAAGAACAAACGAGAAATACCAAAAGCCGGAAATGATGCCGACAAACTGGGTATAGAGGTTCTACTACCTATGTATTACACGTAATGTATTTGTGCCCACATTAGTCTAAAATCTCGGTATAATAACTTTTCTACTTATCTATCCACAGAATATTTTATATCAATTATTTTTACAATAGAAGGCATTACAAATATATAAGATTAAGATGATTATACAAACGTCGATCATGTTATAACAAAAATTTAACACCTACCTAATAAAAAAGAAGTTAGCGACTACAATCACGACAGTTGACACTCGAATCCAAATAGGTGAAAGTTGGTATCGTAAGTGTCCGCGGATAAAGGTTTCGCTTTTTCAATTGTTATTCAACAGGTATTCGTCATTGGGTGCCTAACTGCATCTCATAATTATTATTTCGGTGTGTCAAATAAAATATTTGTTTATTGGATGAACCCGCTAATATAAAAAATAAAGCCAAGTTTCACATTTTAATATACTTAAAAAATTATTCCGGAATTAAAAGTGATTATAAGAAGTAGGACAAGGGCAAGATGGATGGAGACGTATACTATTAAATTTACAAGAACATTTGGAAACATTCGACTACAAACGTCACTGACGAGACTAGTGCAAATTTGGATGAACGTGATCTATCTTATTATCGTATTTTACATAGTGCCTACATCTTGAATTTTGGTACCTACATCATCATTTGATAAAACAGCTAGCCTTTATATATTTAAATAACACATACTTCTTCAACAAAAAGAATATTTACTAACATTGATTAATAAGATTAATACACTGTTAAACTATATGTACATAAACTGAAGATATCTTCACGTAAGGCATAAATATGTGGTCTGCGTCACAAAACGGACAAGTGTACGATATACGAGGTCTGTCCGGAAAGTTCGTATAAAAGTGTTCTGGAATGCGAGAAAGAGGAGTGGGGAGGCCAGGTAAGCGCAGGACCCCTTCCTTATGTCCCTAACAATGCTTCAGTTCTGGTCTGACCGCCGTGCGGTGCGAATTGGCTTGTCACGCCATCTGTGAAGTTACCTCTTAACGAAACCCCGTCGGCATGGAGCCCGCTTCCGTTGAAGAGCAGCGCGTCGTAATCAAGTTTCTCTCGAAACTCGGCAAGAATGGCCGTGAAATTTTTGCCGATCTCAGAACAGTTTATGGGGATGATGCTGTGAAGGAACCAACCGTCCACAAGTGGCTAAAAAGATTCAGAGAGGGCCGAGACAATGTTGATTGTTTTTTTCGATGTTCGGGGGATTGTCCATCAAGAATTCGTCCCTCCAGGCCAGACAGTTGATGGAAAATTCTACGTCGATGTGCTCAGAAAAGCTCGTGTGGCACGAGTTCGTCCAGAATTGGCGCGAGAGGGGCGTTGGATTCTTCACCACGACAATGCCCCTGCCCACACCTCTCTTGTTGTCCGTGAGTTTTTGAGTAAAAAATCCATTACGGTGATACTACCCCGTGTGACTTCTTCTTGTTCCCAAAAACCAAATTGGTACTTCGGGGGCGGCATTTGGGGGACAAAGATAAAAAAAGCTACGACGGGGCAGCTGAGAAACCTACAACCAGAGGACTTTCAAGGAGCCTTCTCACAGTGGAAACGGCGTTGGCACAAGTGCATTATGTCACAGGGGGAGTACTTTGAAGGGGATAAAATTGATTTACCTGAATAATTGTAAAATAAAATTTTTAAAAAACTTTTATACGTACTTTCCGGACAAACCTCGTACAGGTAAATCACATTGACAAGCACATCAGATAGAAAGAGAATTGCGTAGTACTACAAGCTCTAAACAGCCTGAATTAATACTCTCCTAAAAGAATAATAATAGGTATGTATGTCATATTAGTTTAAAACAAAACAAGCTTTTTAGGGAAAAGTTCGGATATTTATATACTTTCAGTAACAATAACGTGCAAACAAGTAAATGATCACCAGATAATCTTTGACGCATTGGTATGTATAACCAAGGATGCATTTAAATAAAAAATATCAATTATTTAAAAAAAAAATGTATTAAGAGTACCGGAGCCATTACATAGTAAACCGTGGCATTAGCCGCACAATTCGTGAACAATCAACCATTTTCATGAAGAATCATTTGTTCCTTACACAATAAATATTTTTTTTAATAAAATGTTTTATTTATTTCCTCACATGCTACGATACTTTTAGATCCAAACAAGGTATAAATTAAAAAAATTGAGAATAATGCCAGCATTATTCTCAATTTTTGAAATGCCTTGTTCTGGAACATGATAAAATTTTAAAAACAAGTTCGAATTTTATTAAGTTTATTTTTACGTCTATAATAGTTTATGTTAAAAATGTACCGAAGAAGAAGTCAAGTCTTGTTAATGGGCGTGTTACCTAGACGAGTAGTACGAAAAAAGAGTGTTGATAAAATAAGAGTAATGTGTAAGGAAAAGGGTTTTTGGGACTAATTTCTAATGCAAATTTTTTAATAAATTTGCCTTATAAGAAGAGAAAATGCCAAACATATAAATTGGTAAATACTTAAAATTTTAATTCCATAGTTCACACCTTACGGTTTATAAGAGAGACGTAAAGGTTACACCGACCGTGGCCGTCGAGATGTTTAAATTTGATTTTTATATCTTCAATAGCTTGAGGTTAATCAATCAGAAGTTGTAACAATTGCAATTTTAATGTATTTTTAACGTTGTGTAAATCAGTAAATATATCCATAGTGGAGATTTTTAGGTTTTGTATTAATAGTTTAATTTTTCTTTAATATCAGTCTTCATATAACTGTTGTCACCTTTCAATTACGTAAAGTTGTCAATGCACACTCAATTTTACCTTAATTATATATTCGTTATACCACAATGAAACGAAAAGTGAACAGGTAGCTTATTTCTAAACTATAATATAAGGTAGAATTATTTCTAAACTATACAAAATATTGTAAATAATATAAAAGCGCATCAGTAGCTTTTCAGTTTAATAACAAGTTATTGATAGACTTTTATTATTACTGATAAATGATAAATTGATATTATCTAGCTCTGCTTGGAACTATCATATATGTACAATTACAGTAAAATTTTTTTTCTTTATTCAGTAATAAACAATATTCTTTCAGAAGACAGTTCTCTCGCTATTTAATATAATTAATATTTCATATCTGGAGAGCTGTATTCATGATTTATTCTCCTGTAATTTATAACATTATACCGACGCAATGTTCTTTTAATCCTTACATTTTTTCTGCCAAACTTTATTCAAAATTGGTTGAATAGTTTTGCAGAGATAATACTTAGCTCTGCAATAAAAAAACAGCATCTCCAATCCTGATTATATGAGACCAATACTAGAATACAATACACAAAAAACACATGAATTTGATACTTTCACATTTGTAATATTAGTAGACATTAGTATAAATTAACTAGTTGCCCGCCCCAGCTTCACATAGGTTACGATTTTTTGAGTTCTTTCATATAAATCTTATCCTGATAATGACACAAAAAATAATCACAACAAAAAAGAATTAACCAATTAAGTACAGCCGTTCAGAAGCGATGCGTTTACATACATTCGGCAATTTTTATTTACATAGATTACCGCTGGCGACTACAATAATATCCTTTTACCTTTATCTCATAGCAGTATTATGTATATTTCATAGTTTTTTTTTTTTTTTTTTTTTTTTTTTGTTATAATTTCATTCACACATCTTTAGGGCGAAATGTTTGATATTCACGTTATTGCCATTTTGAACTTAGATTGGAATTTTGTTTTAGTACTGAACCTCCTTCACTCCTTCTTAAGAATCATAGCAAAAACTTAATATTTTTTTATATTCTGCATACATTTATAGCTAAAAGTATTAAAAATATCATTAAGAGTCGGTAATTTTATAAAATAGTTCACAGTTGATAATTATAAAACTATTAAGTCCATATAAGCATCACCTTTTCCTATTCAAGAAATCGAGTTGTGACGAAGTAAAGCAAGTTGTAATTACTCAGATAAAGCGAATTAAAGACAAGGATATTGTTATGCCAGTGTACCAAATTTCATTCAAATTTGTTTAGCCTTTTAAACATAATAGAGTAGCAAACATATACATTTTCACCAAAGAATCATGGATCGAAAAAGGAAATCATCCCTTATTTAACACAATTAGATGATGAATTTAGAGAAATACAAAAAGTAAACACCACTATTTTTATGTAAGTGATATATGAATAATTTTAGGTAAATCGTTTATAAAAAATTACACTTTCTTATACAAATTTCCACCCTTATTTTTCCCTCCTAAGGAGCCGAACTTAAAAAAATCCTTAGTTATTACTTGTATGCGTCATAAAAGAAACCTGCTGACAAAATTAGTCTAACTTTAGTAGTTAGAGCTGTGCACTGATGAGTCAGAGTCTGGATTATTCTCTTTACAGTACAGAGTATAGATAAGACGTCTTCTAACAGACCTATTTTAGCAATTAGTGTTTGACCACTTTCTTTCTAATTAGAGTATTAATAAATATTATTAATTACACTCTATATTCCTTCCTTTTGGAAGGAATATGGAAGGCAACACACCTGCAATTCCTCTAGTGTTGCGGGTGCCTATAGACGGTCGTTATCACTTACCATCACGTGAGCCGAATATGCTCGTTTGTCCAATATGTTATAAAAAATAAAAACACAAATAGATTATATTGCATAGTTACTGACCTAGTCTATCATATTTCATCACAAACATCAAAAAGGAAGAAGTTCTGAAGTTGCCTGTATTTTTATGTTTTGCTGTATCGACCATTGTTTATGCAAAAGATAAGCTTTCCAGTATTAGTCCTATATAAATTTTGTTACGATGAAAGTCGCTATTCTTTTTAGGACACAAATATTATACGTTATCGACACAACAATTTTTTCAAATAGTTGTGACTGTTCAATTGTCATAGTCTAATTTAAACGCAGTGTAACTATTAAAATGAATTATTGTTTCGGGAAATACATTATTCTCTGAAAATTAGACAAAAACAGTATAAAAATCTCTGCTACCGTAGCAATTATTTTTCTTCGTTCTTTCAATAGAACTGGGCCGCCAATTGCTTTATTTCCGACTTCAACGGTAACATACTATTTATTTGTCAACGAACACAGATTCAATCAGTTTCACAGATAGTTACATAATTAGCCCGCTGGTTTCATAAGTCGACTTTTGGCACTAAAACAATAGACCTTAGTAATTTATAAAAATCTCAGCTTGATATTTTTAAGCATTCTGAAAAAGAAAGAAAATCTTAACAGAGTCGATCTTTCATCCATGTAATTAAATACGGAACCGTAAAAAGAACTACAGCCAGCTGAATCTCCTTTAGTGGTATTTTTGAGTTGGTCACAACGCTATCTGTCTGATACGTGTTAATGCTGTGAACCAATTATGTTTATGTTACTATGTTTCGATTTAAAAGGTAGAATATGGCAATATGAAACATTGATAATGTAAATAGAGTTTTACAAGACTCTGTTTAAGTGAGTTAAAATTATTTAATCAGTCTAATCTTAACTTGTAACTAACTTTTACCTGCAACTTCCCCCGCGTGACCGGGATATGTTTGCTGACCGGGATAAAAAGTAGCCTATATCCTCCTTTATCCCATATATTACGTATATACTAAATTTCATAGTTATTCGATAAGCCGTTAAAACGCTATAAAGTAACATACAAACTCAATTCCAAATTCATAACACTAGTATGGATTAATAGATTATTTTAATTAAATTAATTCCTTTTAACAAATTTTATTGTTAACAAGCGATCTCGCCCGGCTTCGCAGGAATGGATAATAATTTGAATAAAAATTTGAAATAAAAAATAAATTCGTATTTTATTAATATATTAAAGCTAATGCTTTAATAGTCAAATTTTTATTACTTTGGGTTGCATTATGGTCATTTTCGTAGGAATATCAATTTTTTTGAAATTTTTAATAATAACCAGCCTGTTACTGGTGGATAATGTAACTTTTGTACAGGTGAACGACTTTTTAAAATCGGTTGAGTAGCGCTTAAATTTATCCATTATTATCAAACAAAAAAAAATTCCTCTTGATAATATTAATATAGATAATGTAGACTTTCTTTAGTTTAGACATAAAAAAATTTTATAAGACTATTGTAATAAAACGTCTAAACATGTATGGTGCATCTGTCTAGCACAAATTCAACTTTTTTGTGGTAAAAAGGATTAAGTTTGCGTTCTAAGAGTAATATCTTGATGCATTCAAGTTCAAAGAATACAAACTAGATGGTGTTTCCTAATGTTTTGAACACAATGTATATTATTTTACATATATAATTATTACATATATTATACAATAATAACAAAAAATTCTGGATGGGAAAAAATAGTTATCACATTTTATAACTAATTATTTGCAACCAACAGCCGAGGTCAGTTATCACGAATTAGCAAAGTTAAATTAAGCATATCCACAATGTTGACATATTTGCGCAAAATTATCAAAGATAGAAGTTAGAGAAATGGAGGGTAAGAGAAGTGTACGACCTGCAGATACGAGTATAGGTGGAGGCTCGCTGCGTTTTGATTTATAAAGTATAATGAAAAATAGATTGTTTACGATAATCTCAAGCGCAAAACTCAATCGTTATTACCCAGGTCAAATGCAAAAATAATGCCCTAAAAAGTAACTAACCCACAAAAAAGACAATGTTAGGTGGTTTGTTCATAATATTATAGCTGCTTTGGTCTAGTACCTCATTACAGCTGGGTGGATATCCACAATGTACATAACACAGCCGGGGCTGCTCAGTCAATCACCACCATAATTACTGCATGATAATAGAAGATATCAAGACTGTACAAAAATTATTCAGTTACCGTTTTACCGTTAGATACCCGCTATAGTCCTTCATACTCTCCGGGCCTGGCTCCAATTCACTTCACACACAATTCGAATAAGAAAGAATCTACAAAGAAAAAATATTTGGCAAGTAGTAGTAGTAACGATTTTTCGAACATAGTTGAGACCCGTCTACCTACCGAGATCCGATACGCTCTATCTCAAAGGCATTAATGACCTCCATAAAAAATTACAAAAATGTGTTGACACAATGGCTAAATATGTAATTATTTTGATAAACTAAATTATTTTCTATCATTTTTTTTAAATTGCAAATTCATATTCAATGCTTTTATACCTAATAAATTATGTTATTATATAGGTGTCTATTGCAATAGAAATACCTACACTATCATAAACTTAATTTAAGGATAAGTATCTATCGATTTGTTTATTTCAGTTTGTTCTTATCTTGGTAATTATTAATTTTATCTGGATTCAGTGACCCGCAATCATTCTATGTCAGGTTATTTTGTAACATTGCATAGACGTAAAGTTATTTTATTATTTTTTTATACTTACACAGATTAAATAATACCATATAGATGTCGAGTATTTAGTACTATTTATAGAATTTTTAATATAGCTGATACAGTTATAAAGGAATGTGATCATAATACATATCACAAGTGAGCGTAATATTTTTACAGTGAGTGCGCTAATTTGAAATTAAATTAAAACGAAGAATTCTATTATAAAGAGTAAAATTCTCTTACATTTAATTTTATAAGTATTTATCTTTTTTTTATGTCACCTACAAGATAAAATAATAATAAAGATAAAACCGCCCCTAAGGGTATCGCTGACCAATTTTTCTAATCAACGGTTAGGTACTATGGGCTTTTCATATTTCTCTTTTAGAAAAAGAAATAAGTGATATTTTAATATCTCATGAACATATTTACATAAAATAATATTAGAATGTTATTACTGGACAAAGTAATTGCAAAGGTATTAATAAAAACGCAACTAGATACCTACCAATTTATTTTTACACCTATAAAGTCGCTTGAAGAAAAACCCTACTCTGCTTACACTTACGTATGTTTTTCGAATAGATTGAATAAAAAAAATTGTCATATGTTTGTTAATGACTCCAGCATCCAATTCTGGCGACACACATTGATTAATTGCAATATTCATACACACTGTTCATCCAACATGATGCATCTTAATTACCTTGGAAAGGTGTTAACTGCAACATCAACATCAAAAAAGATGTCTACTAGTTCATCCACATCAGATTCCGGTGTGAATGATGGAGGTAACGTGACCAAAGGAGCGGCGGCCCCATTGACAGTGTGACCTCCGCAATTGAAGATCACAGGTTCCGGCTGCACCATAGGCAGCATGACTATAACGCACTCCACGAGTGCTCACCTCCACTTTTTTTGAGACAAATGTCTCTAGAGATCAACTTGGAACAGTACAGTTTAAGTCCATATCCAAACCTACACTGCATTGCGCCACGCTTGCCGCGACGCTATTTTTTTCTATAGAGATTTCTAGATATCACACTTGATAAAAAAAGTTTTTTATTATTATGTAAACTTATTATTTACTTCAAAATCATGTCCTGTTACAAGTTTCGTTTTCCATAAAAACATGCGTTAAGTTTATTACGTAGCAATTCTGCAATTTCTTATCGATATCCGTGCGAAACGTTCGCTACAAAACGACGATGAAAGTCAACTGAAAGACGAGACGTATGTATACATACATCCTTTTCGTTCACTGCTTTACAAATTATCAACAGAGCCCGGCGCGACGCAAAACGTCGGTGGCAGCGACGGCGCTGTGAGCGAGAGTAGTCGGACTGACTGACTGGCTGGACTGGACTGAACACGAACATTATTGCTGATCCAGTCACACCCACGCTTGCTAATACATAGCAAACACCACGATCTCGCTCACTGAGACGAATTTCGTAGAAAACGATTGTCGAACTTAACCGATCATAAACGAATTAATACGATGGATAAAAACAGAAAAAAATGTTTGCTATTTCATTAGCCATCCATTTGTTGCGAAACAAGAGTGAAATGTAATAAACAATCATTAATCAATTGTACGGAATTAAAATTACGCTCAATTGTGTTTAGATAAGTATGATGTTTTATTTAATAAATATGTAGATAGTTAAATCTATATTTATGCGAAAATAAAAATAATAAATCTTCTTCGGATTCCTTTTTTTGCTTTTGGTGTAACATCTTGTAATGAGATAACAGAAGCTGTAACATTAAATATTTGTTCTGACAGACTATTAAACGACAAAAATATAACATATCTATATGAATATGTATAATAAAGACTACAATATTAAATAAGAAAAAATTACTACATAACATTTATACATACGTAAAAGTGAAAAAGTTTTTTTTATTACTTCTTAAAAAGTAACGCACTTATTTATGATAAAAGTACGTTACTGCTAGTATTAATATAAGCACTTATTATATCCCCTAAATATTGACAGACTACACACTAAACTGTGACGTGATATATAAACTTGCCTACCTATACCTTCATGAAAGTGAAATGGAACAACATTCGTGTCAAGTGCACAATTTAGATAACGAGGTCATTTATTGCATAATACTATTTCAAAGATATGGTTTATAATAGTATGTTGTGTGCAATTTTACTAGTAATTCCTATAATAAATTAACTTATTTACTGAAAATGTATACTTAAAAATGAAATAGAAGAAAAATAAATATTTTTAAACCATTAACACAAGATTAATAGTAGCAGTTAAAACGTGACTAGCTCATTTTTGTTTACTATTTAAATAAAAAAGTTAAATAATTTAAATATTGACATGATAAAACTAAAGGGGCAGTAAAGGAAGAGCGCGCCGCGTGCAGATATCGGTGCAGGCGGCCCCGCAGATCTGTGTCAGTAGGTCACGGCAATGACGTGGCACACGGCCACGGCGCGGCGCGCACTTCATTCTAATTCCGCTTCACCGGTCTTACCTATCCTCATTTGACTATTTTATTTCATCCCCTAGTTTCCTAACACTTTAATCTGACAATTAACTTACTAAACAATCGAATAGCTATTTATATTCTAAAATATATTCATTCAGAACTTGGAAGAATAGTAGGACTCGATGACGACTGTTAACTTATCGACAATGACATTGACCAACTGAAATAATTCACGTGAGAATGAGTTACAGTCATAGACGATGATATAAATTAATAGCTAAAAAGTTTTCCTGTTGACATTATAATATCAACCGTACATTAAAAGTAAAATTAAAATATTGTTGCCGAGATATTATTTTGCCAAAATAATAAAATAATTGTAAATAAAAATCAAATTTATTTCACAGAGAGCATGCCAATTATTTGTAAATAAACTTTGATTAATGCCTTAAATGAAAATCCCGCCAGGGATGAAATTTTCTTAATATGAAAAGATACAAAGTTCAATTAGTATGAATTTATCAGTATGAAAATTTCTCAAAATGAAACAGCCATCATCAGTATTAACATGTCACTCGTATATAAGACAATAACCAAATGCCAATCTACAATTTTTTTAAAAACGCTAGAATTAACCTTAAGCTCCATAATTTGGTCCTACTCCATAATTCGAAATTCGTCGTAACAATTTGCCGTCTAATCCATCATTATCTTAATTATAAAAATTTCATGTCACGATGTTCGTTCATGCTAATCTCTGAAACCGCTCTAAAAACTTTAATGAAATTTTATAAATTTTTGCTCACACTTGAGAGATAGGATAATTTTTATTCCGATAAGAAAAAAATTACCTGATAAGTGATTGTAGGGGCAAAACAACATTTGCCGGGTAAGCTAATTCTACTATAAAGTACAATATCAATATTATCATTGTGTTCAATGCATATACGCTGCGACTACAGTACACGACGAACCAACTAAAGAAAAATACAAAAAAATATATAATTGACAAATACATCACCGACTTTTAATTTATCGACCAAATGATAATTATGACAGCAATCCTCAGATATCATAAACAATAATGCTCGATGATCAACGGTGCTTCATAAGAGGTAGATTTTTAAATGATCAGAAAACTAATAAGCCAAGATAAAATCGAACACTGCTCTTTAAGCTGTCGATGAATATAAAATTTGAAACAATTTTTCAAGTTGTTTGTTTAGTTTGGTTGAACTTCGACCAAACACAATTTCAATAACGAATCGAAAGAGAAGCAAACTACACATGTTTTCATCCAAAATATCACAGTCAATTGTCATTAACCAAAGCGTATTAGCATTGGTCACTTATGGAACTGAAATAAGGTCTCAAACTGCTAACACTATGATAATTCTCCAATTCACTCAGTGTAACTATGCTCGGAGTTTGACAGCGTGACAGAATTTGAAATATGGCCGACGAGGAAGAAACTGGAGTGATGTCGCCATACCAATGATATTGCTCAGGACCATACTTTCTTGAGAAATGTTAAGCACTAGATAATAAATAATGATGATGATGTTAATTTTAACACAATTTTGTCCAATGGTTACAAATCAAAAAACTAATGAAATAATGAATACCAGAGATGGAAGGGTAGGAAGGAATAACACTATCATCGTTATTACAATCTATACATCCAGGATTGTTAATAATGGGGGCTCACAATACTGGAATAGCAGTAGAGATAGCTGGAACAGTAATACATGGTGCCTACAATAAACATTACAGAGTATTCTATGATATTCATGGTCCTCTTCATGTCTTAAGGCGTAGTTTACCACTTTTCATTATGTGAGCCGTCAGCTTGTTTGCCATTCCAAATTGCTTAAAAATATAGCCAATCACTGCGTACGTTACGCCCTCATAGTTTGCAATAATCGATTCAAGGTCTGCGATATTTGACTATTTGGTTTTTGTTTTGTTATATTTTATCGCTGTGGACATGAATTTAAACCACATCGCTTCCAAATTTAACGAATTTGGACTATGTCATTACAGCAAAACAGCATCTCGTCATCAGAGCAAGTAAATTGGGAACTCTTGATGGCAGTTCAGGGATCCAGACATAAATTAATTCACGCTAGCGCAAATATATTAAAATTATGCATGCAAAAATGAATTTATGAAATTATTTAAAAGACGCTTACAAATAATTGCCGTTTACTTCATGCTTCGTACGGCCGTACGATCTAAAATTGTTATCCAGTTAACCACAATTGCACTCTTTTTCTTTCACAACGGAGACAGAAACTAAATTCAGTCCTTTGGTAGTGTACGTAGTATCAAAATACAAATATATTTCATTAGTTCATAATTATATAAATACATAAATAAATATTTAAAAGAACTTAAGACATTCATACCTAATATTTAGAAGAACTAAGACAAAGCTGATTTCTATTTATTAAAATTATACAACAATTGTTAGTGCCACGAAATTTGTTTAGAATATTTGTTATCGATCAAATGTTCTAATATTTGAACTAATTGTGCGCCTAATTGAGTGAATTTCAAAATAAACAACTGATGTTATGATTTTGTAATTTGTTATTGGTTTACATTACCTATGTAGAACAATAACAAATTACAAAACCTATATCGCAAATGATGTATAGAAAATTACACCAAATCTAAAGTTTTCTGCATCCTAAACTTGTTAAGCTATTAAAACCAGACTATAAAGAAATATTTTAGACATCCCAGAGCACGCTTTTTATTAAAAGTTATAATTCTACTATAATAGTGATCATAACGCTGCAAAGTAATAAGTTTTGAGTTATTGGCATATTAATTTGTTATGACGAATGAGATATCTAATTTTCTGCTTTATATCAGGTTATACAAAACTTTATATTACTGGTAATTTTTACAGACTTAATTTTTTTACGGGAACGTAATCTCTCTGCTCATTCAACAATCTTACGCTCTGTTAAGTTTAAATGAAACTCTACTAATATGATGTTGACAAGAAATGATGAGCCGTTACCTCAAGGGAGCATAAGTAATTTGATCAAATGAAACAACTAATGAGAATATAAATGGCGTAATATATTGGTTGGGGACTATGAGGCCCGAGCTCGCTATATATATCATGTTATCTCAATCTAATAAGTATAATATGTAGGTACCCATTTAATTTGTTTCAATCGTTAATTAAGTTAATATAATTTCGGAAATATTGCAAAAGGCTTTAAATTGCTCAATATTAGGGCGCATTATACAACCGATCTAAGCATTTACGTTTACTTACATTTTTTTTTTTCATCTAGCTTATTCTATTATGACAAATTTTCTTTATCAAGGGACTTCAAAAAGGTGAGGTTCTGAATTCGTAAATTTTTTTTCTGTGTTTATATAACGCGGTATCCTTGCACATTCTGAACTTATTTTCATATTTATTATAATCTCTTTACTCAATCAAAAAACACTTCGTATAACAATATATAATGACGGTTACAGTAAATCACCAACTCCTCTAATGATACAGTAGTAAGACGAATGAAAATTTACTAATATTTACTGATGGAATAAGAAACATAAAAACTATCTTTGGTTTATATATCAGTATATGGCATCGTAGCTTCCAGAGAGACGAACCCATTTCAATGTACTTATTAACACAAAATATATAAAGAAGAGTATAATAATTGAGACTAATGTGTTTACTCGTATCATCGGATCGTGGCTCATAAAACGGTAAACTAATTGCAGTTTTTTTTTCTTTATTTTTATGTAAAGGTTATTTGGATTGTTCTTATCTATGTTTAAATTTGGAAGTCCAAAAGTAGTCTCAATTCATCTGAATTTTTTGCGACTACATCGCTATTTCTGAACAGGTTTTCACAATTATTTTGTAATTAAAAAATATAATTACGTGTTGGTAGATTATTAACTTTATGAAAATTGGGACTACGATTTTTCTTTAGGGAGCAAAAAACTGCTTATTGAAAAGCAAAATAATACATAAATACGCAATATTTACAATATAAGTAACTACAAAACAAGTCAGTGTAGGATAAATAGATACGATACAATATTGTCGTGCAACGGTGTGTTCACAATTGACGTCGCTTTTTTTCTGCGGAGCAACACTTTTTAAGAAAAAATATTTTATTATAATATATAATATTAAATTTGTTATATAATACTTATAAATGTTAAATAATACAAAACGACCTGTAGTTCTACGCCCAATATCGCTTATTTATCCTTTCATAAGTCTTGGCTCTATATTAACGGGATTTTATTTCTTATAAAGTACTACTAGTTACAGAGTAAACAAACTCCTTCGTAGTGGAAAAAATATAACTCTTGATCACTTATGCTCGCGATTTCATCCACGTACTCGAGATATAGTCTATAAAAATGTTCTTCTTTTGGCCAAATACAACATATATATACTATCTATATCCTTATACTAAATTTCATGATAATATTTTAAACTATTAATGTTTCAAAAATAACAATAATCATTTATTATTATATAATATACAGATAACCAAAACAGAAGCAAAATCACATAATTACATTAATAGTAAGGACTTATTACTAACGTAATATACACAAAAACAAAAAAAAAGTTGAATCCTGACAACATATACAAATATTGCAGAAAGGATAGGTTAAATTTTTGTTTATAATGAATAAACTCAAAAAATAATTTGGTTGCACACAATAAATAACGACATAAAATGAGCAAATGCAAGCGAAAAGACCCCAAATAAACTGAGATAACAGCCAGGAGAAAGAAGAAGAAAAATAAATAAACTCGAAAATTTGTTAGTTTTAAAATTCTCTCAGCTGTAGGAAGTTCAGTATTAGCAAGTAACATAAGCTGTATTTATTTAAAAAAAAACTGCGAAGCCGGGGTGAATTACATATATAGAATCAAAGATGGGAAAACTCTTTAAGGTAAAATAGACGAAGATATCATATATCAAACAAATTGTATACAAAAACTTGATAAAATAGTCGAATAGAGAACACGCTCCTTTTTTAAGAATGTTATAATAATAATAATAATAATTTTTATTTCAGACTTTTTGGTCCATTAAATATTTATGAAGGAACAGTTGAATGTTTGGTTGCCGTTGAATACGGCACTGGCAAAATTATAACACGTGGAGTGTTTCATATAAAATATCGTTCATTCCAATAAAAATATATATATACATGTAACTTATCTAATCAAAAAACATTCTAAATAGTACTATCATAGTCTAAAGAACTCTTTCCTACACTGTGGTACTATCATACCGTGCCAGTGCCAAGTGCCAAATATTTGTTGGTCACGTTCATGCGAAAGGATTTTTGTAGGTAACGAAGGCATAGATATAATATAAAAATATGCAAACAATGAATTTATTGCAATGACAGGTGTAGTTTAAGTATAATGCCTAGCTCTTAGCAAAGAATCCCCGCAAATGCGTTGCGTCACGTGGGCGGGTGGATCGATTGAACTAGTAGCAATCCCAGCGCGTGCGCGAACTCTATCCTCTCCTATATCGACCGCTAACTTTTCACTGAGCGCTTTTGGGGCAGGTTAGGCCTATACTCAGAGGTCAAGGTCATGTTTCTTCCCGCTAAAATATTGGCTATGCTACTTACAGCTATATTATTTGCCTCCACGTGGATCTACACGAATTTATCAATCTAACAATAATTCGGATGCGGTTATAAGAGTACACATTTTGAAAACCATATATTTTTTTAAACTGTGTATATACTTCATCTAAGCTTAGTGTAAGGAAATTTCTGACACGCGATTTTTGATAATCTGTCTGTATATTTGCCAACAGAAAAGAAAATGGACTAGGATTTCATCACCTTCTACATATATTTATATGTAGAAGGTGATGAACTAGTATTTACTCGCAACTTCGTCTGAGTAACCAAATAATATAAATGGTAGTATACTAATAGGATAAATAGTAGGCTATATTATTTATGCTAAAAAGTATGTGTATACCAAATTATGACGATTGGTTGGCTCATTAAGGATTAGTTGCTAGAAACAGTTTGTAAGGAAAAAAGAAAAATGGCTTTTTCATATTTCCTGGCAATTTTTCCAAATTTTCTCTCTCTCCATAAAAAAATTCTTTGAGCTTCAAAGAGTATTTGAAGAAACAAATGCGATTAAAGCCAAAATAATAGTATGGTATTCTACGACGCATTAAGAATTTTCACCGTCCAATTTTTTACGAAAAGTTCTGTATGGAACCGCATGGAAAAAATACACTCTGAATTAGTCTATGTTAGATTAAGCCCACAGTTAAATATTGCTCTTCCTTCGTTGTTCCAATTAGTACCAGTATATATAAATCGACTTAAGAAAATTCTCCATCTAAATAAAATAACCTAATTAAAATATTATTATAATATATTTAGATAAAACATAATGAAAACAGTAGATGTTGCTTTGTAAAAAAAAGACAGCGACTTTTATCGTAACCAAAAATTAATCTCACTTTTAGATTTAACGTGTAATATTAATTCTACGAGTACATTTGGCTTTGCAGTTACCAAGATTTTGCTTTGATCTATCACGGCAAAATAATTATGAAACCAAAACATAAGTTTTATAACACAAAAATACGCACGACTTTAAAAAATTAATATTATTATATAATATTATTATAAAATTAATAAATGGCTAACATATCGAATAACTCACCAAAACAGTAAACTTCATATGCAAACAAACAGTGGAAAGAGAGGTCTCGTATTTAATCCTATTAATATTATAAATGTGAGTTTGTTTATACCTATAAAACTTAGTATACACGTAGTATATGTGAGAAGGATATAGGCTTCTTTTTAGTCAGTCCGGTCAGTAAACATATCCCGGTCACGCGGACGAAGTCACATGTAAAAACTAGTGACTTTAAAGTCATAAGTTTTTACCTATGACTATAATAATTATCCTTATGAATCTCGGATTATTGACAATCCTCCTAATTCAGTACACGGCAGGATATAATCATGTCGAGAGGACCGCATACAGTTGCGAAACAACTTATGCCAACGACATTGCCATAAGTACACCGCATGGAATATAGAAATATTTTTAATAGTGTATGTGATATTATGTTTTTAATAAAAACTATAATAGTTTTTGATAGCGACTCACGTCGCCCTTTAAAAAAGCGGTTTAGGCATCCTCAATCGAAAACTAAAGTACATACTTTCGATTTGAATGAAAAAAGAAATAAATGGTTAGTGTAATGAGCAAACACAATAGTGCCATCAAAATATTAACCTTGAACAGAATAGAAATGAATATTTAATTAAATAGTCTTGTTTACAAATACTATTAAATCGTCACTTTTTATCACTGCATATAGCTGGGTTCGGAATGTGATGTTATTATCGACCGAGAAGAATTCGCAAGTAATTCGACAGTTACCCTTTTTAAATAATTTTACAAACATAAATAATTTTATAGCATATTTTTAAACCCCGACGGAAAAGATGAATGTTATAAATTTGACGTGTTTGTATATCTGTGACATCGTAGTTCCTAAACGAATGAAACAATTATGATGCGATTTCTTTTGTTAGAAAGCTGACGTAATTGAGATGGTTCTTAGCTAAAATTTATGAAATTCATTCAGACGTTTCAAAGTCATCAAGTCTTTTTATAAGTTTATGCCGAGGTTTTTTTTAATTTTTAATAAACTTATAGTTATTGCGTACATTATTCTAATTCGAATTATCACACAAATTATCATATTATATGTATATACTACTTGTACTATATTATCAATATTCACAAAGGATTGTGAATATTGATAATATAATACAGTCTTTTGTGTAACTTAACAAGAAACTAAACATTTCAAAACTTGGTAGAAAAAACCTACAGGGCTCCACCAGATAGAACACCTACAGTAAGCATGCATGACTTGCTTCAAGTTACCCATGACTACGTCATAGATACAAATATACTAATACATAACGTGATAAGCTATCATTAATATGCACCAGAAATAGCATTGATACAATAAAAGCATTGATTAGTATGAACCTTTGCAGGACTGCAGCATTAATGTCAATCTTGTCAGAATAATTACCGTCAATCGTAATCTTAATTGGTTGAACAAAAAGCTGTAGAACCAATTTCATTAATCCCTCTGAAAGTCCTTACAAAAACAGTATCGATAATCAATTTATACCGAAAAATAGGACGTGAATGAAACTTTTTCTGGTAGGAATAGATCATTGCTTAAACATGATGAAATTACAGCATTCTCAGATGGTAGTGGTACTTACGGAACGGAACTCCATTCATTTAAAGTTGAATTCTAGTCGAAGAAAGTATCTAACAACTCCGCTTACCCTTTAGGATTAACGCACATGTTACCATCTAGATTTCGACAACTTATTAGAGTAATGTTAGACAGAAAGCGACCAAAAAGCATAGTTTTAGAAACTGATGACTAATATTGCTCTCCAATTCTGCTGATATGTAGTATTCTAATGGATTTTCAGTGTAATAGAATTTAGAAGGATTAATTAATTTTGGTGGCCAGCCGTAATTCATATAATTAAATAACTAACAGGTGAATAAGTAATGAACTTTTATGCAATTTTTTTTTTTAAATACTGAAGGGAATAAAAATTCCGAGTGTTTAAAAACTTAGATCATATAGATCAAATCTTGTTCTTTTCGAGTTCTGTATTTGTTTGTGTTAATAAAAATTAAAACCTATAAAATTTTAAAGATTTGAAACGTTGCTATATATTTTAGGAAATAATTAGGTCTTTAATTTTTTTTTATTCAAATAATTAATCTAGATTTGTTACAAGCTAATAATTATTCTTCCGGAGATTTCTTAAATATATGTGATGTGTATGTGTAGGAAAACTGCGCAAGATAAATGCGCGGCGAAGACGATGTTGGTAGCAGCGGCGTCAGCGGTGGCGGCGGCGGGTGCGGGCTTCCTCCGCTCGGGATTGATCGCACCCGTACTTCGAACCAGAGGCACGCGTAGCCTCCTGTGTCGTCATGGAGACCGCCTGCCGTTGCTGCCGCCGTCGGAACGTCGCCATGATTACCGAGTCAATGTGATATTTCGATTATATTCATACATTAACTACTTGCGGTTTAAGTTACTGTCATTATTGAACCAATAAACGAATCAATATAAATTGTTCAAACAGTAAGTTGTTTGCTTCACTACAAATAAAAATTTAGGACGAATCACTTCAATATACCATAGAATGTAAAGGTATTTTTTTTCTAAATTTAAAAGATGATATCTCTAAATAACTGGAATACAAGTAATTATGTATTGTCTCACTTGGTGACATATACCTCTCATGTCATGTCATTTTTTATATGTGAAAACATGCAGCCAAAAGACAATCTTAAAATATTGTATACAAAGACCTTTTCATTTAATAAAAACATCGGACGAGTAAACCTGTTTTAATTGAGCTTACTAATACTTATTACGAAACGCGAAAGTTTATCTACTTTTTCTTCTTCACTACTACTAAACTACTGAACTGATATAATTTGTATAAAACATAAATATGAACATAAATATGTAACAACATTATTATTCATGTATTACATGTACAACATCGAAAAAATATTCACAATTTTTATAAACATTTTCTTTTATATAGAGCAAATTTTATTTCAAAGTACCTCAACATTATTTAAAAAGTTCAGTAGAAAGAAATATTTCTTATTTGCGCCTAGAGACACGTTATTAGTAACATGAAAAATTTACCTTGCATCTTCAATGGCCAGCGCTGGCATAAATGATTCATTGATGCGAGTGGCGCCGGTCAGCGCCGGATTCAAGCGCTCCGTGGCTATGTCAAATCAGTTACAGTCACTAGGAAAAAATCCACCTGTAACAAATAAAAATTTGATAATGGTAAACAAGTTGAAGACGCACTGGATAGGAACTGATAAGTAAGCATACGAGTATATCGTTCGGTGTATGGCATCCTCGTGGGTTGCCATGACACTGCTGGAGACAACTATCACAATAGAATACACATATACACTGGACAGCAAATAAACCGGGCCACCCGCTACTTTTGAACTCCAATCCGATTTTCTCAGAGAGTATAAAACTTACAACTGCCAAAGTCATACCTATAGAAAGTGCGTTTCATGACGATCAAAATGACTAAAATTTAATATAAAGTACCGTCATCCTATATTGCAATCAAGCAACAAACAATGCTTACGATTTGCGCTGTTTTGACTAGAATTCGCGCTCAGCGTTCTTTCTTCTACAGTAAGAGTAGTCCGATATTTCTTATCATTTCTTTAAATGTTTTCCATCATTTGCATAGACGCGTGTATTTTTGTAACTTTTTTGAGTTAATAATGGATACAACTCCTCAGGAAGTCGCTCAAGCTGTAGCATTACTTCAAGCAGGCCACGGACAAAGTGAAGTCACTCGAAGACTTCGAATTAGCAGATCTTTAGTGCAATGAGTTTACAAACGATACTTAGAAACTGGAGCATTCGATGGCCGTCCAGGTACGGGCAGATCTAGGGCTACATCAGCAGCAGATGATCGTTACATCCAACTTACTGTTCTGCGAAATCGTCGACTCAACGCAGTTCAAGTCCAACAAAGTCTGCGTAATGAACGCCAAGTGGTCATATGTTCAGATACTGTTAGAAGGAGACTTGCTGAACGGGACCTGATTCCAGAAAAAGCGGTAATAGACCCAACATTAACAGTAGCCCACCGATGAGCACGATTTGAATTTGTTCAAGAGCATAGAGATTAGACTTGGAGCAGTGAAGTACTCTTCACTGATGAGACAAAGTCAGTCAGAGTATATCGTCGCCCTGGAGAACGTTATTCACAGTATTGCATCGAAGAAACTGTTGCTTATGGAGGAGGATCGGTAATGATGTGGGGCGGCATCTCATTAACTGCACATACAGATTTAGTTTTCATTAAGCCAACGGGCCGTACACGTGCATTGACTTCTCATCGCTACATTTCTGAAATCCTCACAGATCATGTGGTACCTTACGCAGAATATATTGGGCAGGATATGCAGTTGATGCATGGTAATGCACGGCCTCACGTTTACCAGAGGGAGACTTTGTACAAAAGTCGAATGCTTGGGTACCTCTATCCCATTCGTGTTTCAACCGTGAAGCAGTTGTGTTTGCATGGCTGTGTTTCGGTTTGAAGGGTGGGATATGGCGTGAATTTACTGGGTACGGAGGAATAACACCTGAGTCCTAGCATGGTCCTGGAATGGCAACGTATGGGTATCATGGGCGAAACAGTATACTCCGTTAAGTCCATGGTACTGCTCATGTCTATGGGCGACGGTTACCACTTTCCATCAGGTGGGCCGTCAGCTTGTTTGCCATTTTAAGTCGTATAAAAAAAAAAAAAAGGAATGCTCATGTGGTGACCCAATATCTACGCGACGTTGGCATCCGTACGATGGACTGGCCAGTTCAAAGCCCGGATTTGAACCCTATAGAACACTTATAGGATGAGCTGAAACGTCGGGTTCGAGCCCGGGTACCTGCTCCAATAAGGCTTCCAGAGCTGTGAATCGCAATTGAGGGGGAGTGGAATGCAATTCCCCAAGATTTCATCGTCAGGCTCGTGAAATCTATGAATACGAGAATGCTATCAGTTATCAAAGCAAGAGGAAGGAACACTGAATACTAATCATAAACATCTTTTTCAATTTTTTTTCTTTGTTTCCGGCTTTAATTTGTTTTTACTTGTTGATAACAAACGATTTGCACGACTGGAAACGACTCATCTTTGTAAAATTTTAAATAAACAATTACTTGTTAAATCATAATGTGCTTCCATTAATTATAATCGTCATGAAACGCACTTTCTACAGGTATGACTTTGACAGTTGTAAGTATTATACTTTTTGAGAAAATCGGACTAGAGTTCAAAAGTAGCGGGTGGCCTGGTTTATTTGCTGTCCAGTGTATTTCAGCTTCATTGCAAATAGTAAGCTTTGCACATGCGATTCATATATCATGCCAAATAAAGGACAATCAAAACACATATTAGGGAAATAAGTATTAACAATTTTTAAAACAATAGCTTATATCTTCTTGAAATCGCTCAATTATAAATGATTATATTAAAAAAAAAATGCCCACAGAATACAAATTCGGACCGTATTTTTATGCATGAATACCGATTTTGCAAGATTTCAGAATGGATTTGCATGATTCGTTTTTTATGACTTGTAAGGAAAGGACCAGTAATTACGTGGAAATGGACAATGTTGAGCGTTTTGTATGGGGCCCGGATATCACCGCTCGTCTGTCTTATGACAGATGTCAACTCGACACAATCTTTCAATCTAGGGATTAGATAGCACTGACATTAATCTACAACTCGATGATATCGATATACATTGGATACCATCCCCCCCCCCCTCCGTAGGATCTGGGCCTAATGGTAATAACGAGATCTCACTGTCGCAATGCTAGCAATATATACCTATCTTTCAGGTCGGTCTCCACAGGTTCCTCCTATAAACCATCGTGGTTAATAAGTGTAGAATTTGTCACAATGGGCCAACTGACCTGCTTCATCCTCACTTACCTTGCCTAACTGGTGCTCCGACAGTGTACACCATGTGTTATTAGCTATGTATGGTTGTTCCGTTAAGACACTAAGAAGCAACAAATAAATAAACTCACTTTCTCATTGATAATATTAGTAAGAATACAGAGTGCTTTTCTTTAGTAGGCCCTTTGAAAAAGGCTGCTACGAAGATTCTTCATAGCTCCTCATGTGTTAGCTGCGATCTTGTACTTTTACAATTAGTACAAGATTAAACCAGGTTAAGACTTTACCTACTAGATAACGAGGATAAAATATAGCCTGATGTGTTTCTACATCCCAAATACTATGTGTACAACAGATTTTATGGGAACTGCTTGAACTACTAAAGCACCAAGAACAGGACTTACTATTCCAATACAAAAAACCGATATAATATGGGCATTTTTTTTATTTAACTTAGAATGGCAAACAAGCTGATGGCCCACCTGATGGAAAGTGGTAACCGTCGCCTATAGACATGAGCAGTACCATGGACATAAGAGTATACTGTTTCGCCCATGATACCCCCCTCTCATGCTTGGAGGGAAGGGATTGCTAGTAATGGGGAGGTTAGTTCCCATTACTATCAATCATTAGGTCGACCTCCAAACGGTTCTCCCTGGAAACCATCGTGACTAATTTATCACTGAATTCGTCACGATGGACTAACTGAACTGCCCTTTCATTTTCACCATTCATCCCTCACTGGTGCCCCGCCAATGTATACCAATAGAACAGACGGGATTACTATTCCATTATCATCCATTAACCCCCCCCCCCCCCGCCATGCATTGCCATTCCTGAAGAATCGGGTGTTATTCCTCTATACTCTGTAAACTCTCTGCCATATCCCCCCACCCTTCAAATCGAAACACACCCATGCAAACACAAGTGATTCACGGTAGAAACACGAAAGGGACAGAGGTGCCCAAGCAAACGACTTTTGTATAAAGTCTCCTTCTGGTAAGTACACTTACTTGTGTGTACTTACCTGATTTCTCCACACACAGGAAAATCGTTGTCCCAAGTACATTTTAATTATTTGGTGATATTAGTAATAAGTTTTGTTTATATTTTTTTTACTATTATTTTAAGGGCTTTATCTATCGTACCCTAAACTGATTTCTCAAATAAAGCTTTGTCTACTTTCCCTAAACACGGAAAGAGAAGAATTAATAGGCATTAATAATTTACAGAGATGTTCAAATTTTTCTGGTTTAGGTTCAGTTTAGTTAATATAGATTGAATAAGAACCACAATAAATTTATTAAGTTAAAGTGGCGCATGAATTCTTCTCTTTCCTTCGTGTTTATACGACACTTTAATAGAATATGTTGCACATCATCTATGGTATCACAAGTTTGACAATGAAGTGACCAGAACTTTCCCATTATATGTGCAAATTTTTTTGATGGATAATGACCAAATCGAAGACGAACAGCTAATTTAATATTAAATCTATTGATTTTAATTCCACAAAACCAACGAATATGTGAAGGTTCAATGAATAGTTTTATACCAAATACCTTATTCTTTTGAAATTTTGTTAAAATATTCTTTCCAATCTTTTTTACATTGATTTTTGAATTTAGATATTTAATGATAATATACTAATTACTCTCAACAGGGTCAAGGCTAACGATGGAAACAACATGGCGAACGAAAATTACGATGTATATCCGAGTACAGAACTAGAGTACGAAACCCATCCCAGTGCAGAAAGGTGTAAGGGTGACGTCATATCCCCGAAACTATACAGCGGCTATGGAAGATGTTTTCAAGCTCTTGGACTGGAAAAGATATGGTATAAACATCTACGGCAAATTCTTCACTAAATTTCGATTTGGTGTTTCTTAACAGGTAGGTCTTAAAATGAACATGAACAAGACTAAAATCATGTCTAACGTCCATGTCACACCTATACCGATTACGATTAAGAGCACTACGTTCGAAGTTGTCGACGAATATACCCGGAACAAGTCCGAATGGGTAAGTCCAACTTCCACTAAGAGTTTAACCGACGAATCCAATTCGGTTTGACAACGTTCGGAAAACTACGCTACATCTTTCCATCCAAAATACCTCAGTTTAAAGACAAAAGTCTTTAACTAGTAAGTGTTTATGTGATGACTTATGAAACCGAAACATGATCCTACACGATTGCAAAAGCTTCAAATTACTTAAATTTAATGGAGAGGGCTATGCTCGCAGTCTCTTTGCATGACAGAATCCGAAACGAGGGTATCCGCAAAAGAACCAAAGTAACCAACGCAGCTCAC